TTAGTTGCCACCCGAGAAAATCCTACTGTAACAGCTTTGTCGGAAGAAAGTTGAGTGGGACAAGCCACTGGACCGTGAGGACAGACTAGGTTGCGAACAATTCTTGATCATTGTCAAAGAACTAGGGGACATACGAATCCCTCGGTACTTGCCTTCGAATGTGATGAAGAAAATGAGAGAATTTCACACATGCTCAGATGAATCTGAAGTGGGCTATGGAGCGGCAGCTTAAGGCAGTTGGATGGAAGTGAATAGGCATAGAAAAACCAGATTGTTACTCGCTAAATCCAGGGTCACTCCACCTAAGATAATATATATCCCTAAGTGTGAAATGAGTGCCGCATTACTATCTTTAAGATTGTCCACCAAGCTGAAACAGTGCTTCGTAGCTGTAAGCTAGGACGTTACATTTCGGACTGGCTCCTCCACCGTACTTTATTACGCCCGCAATACAAGCGCTCGTTTCAGGTTTTCCGCAGCAACTCAGTTGACGCTAATTCGTGATTAAATTAGGGTAGATCAATATCGTTACGTGCAGTCATCTAGCAACCCCGTCAATTTTTGTTCACGAGACCTAGAGAATTTGGATAAATTGTTCAACTGGTCCAGTGAACCGAAGTTCCTGAGTCTGTCCGAAAAGGAATGGCCTTTATCCCCACTACTCGAAGTGTGCATTTCGGACTTGGACGTGGAACACACGGTACTAACCATCAGTGTCATCAACAATGATATTTTGCTGACTAAATAGTGCTACTTCTGTTTGGACCAAGATGCTCAGAGCCGTAGTATGGTGGACAAAACTCAAGCAAAGGATGATGATACTGATGTGTCATACCGGGCAGTAGCTTAACTATCAGCCCGATACACTCTGTCGAACTGAAGTAAGTGAAGACCGAAGTGATACGTCTAATACAAATACAAACTCTCTCCTTAAAATTTACAACATTAAGTAAGGAAGACTTGGAGAAAACGAAAAAAGACTTGTTTGCGGTCCGTTGAGGAAACTTAGTCCCATTTTGGTCGATATTCTAATAAGAATACGTGACAGATTGAATAACTCTCTCTTGAGTTTTGATGCGGAACACCCTATATGATTACCTAATAGACACCACGTAACGGCCTTGTTAATCCGGCATTGCAATGCTACAGAAAGACTTGCAGGGAAAACTCACTTGAAGACCAATATCCGCCAGCGATTTTGGATTACGGCCGAAAGAGTAGCAGTGAGGAGGGACACCGCTAACTGCATCTGGTGCCGACTGCAAAACTTAGGGGTAGGTAAGCAACTAACCTCATCACTACTAGCAGCCATTGTAACAGAAGAGGGGTAGCCCTTCTCCGGGACCAGTACTCACCATTTTGGTCCTCTTATGATAAGGAGAAGTGAGATTTCTGAGAAGAGATAAGGTTGTCTAATGACCTGCTTGCAGACAGGGTTGTTCATCAAAAGGAGGCACACGAGGAATACGGACTCGTTTTTGATGGCTTTACAGCTTTTTGTTGTCAGAATAGGTATGCCTACCAACATTTATTCAGACAATGCATCAAATTTCGTCGGAGCCCATAAGGAGCTTGAGAACTGGTTGCCGTGTATCAGTATGATTCTGATTCAGAATAGAACTATAACTAAAAGAGTTTGCGGTCTTTTCAACCCTCCGTACACTAGCTAGTTGTTAGTTTCATAATCCAGTATTGTAGAAATCACGAACCAATCATGTTTTGGATAGGGGATTCGCGTTTGTCTACAAACTGCTCAAAAGTATCTTACAGGTTGTGCATCTCAGTCTTTCGATAAAAAATATGAGGTCATCCGCGTTGCAAGTTTGAACGATCGCAGATCCGATTCCTTCTTTGTGCAAAAGTTCATTAACACCTTTTCTAAATGGAAATTAAAATGCCACTTGTAATTTCGGTGCCGACGCAATTCTTCACTGAAGGGGATTTCAGTGTGTTCTTTCAATAAACGCCCCCGAATAGACATCCTCAGTCAGGGCAGTGGATCTTGCTTTCTGTGAATATGCACTGTGCTGTGTAGGAGTGTCTCCGTACCAGCTCAAATTTTCAATCCAGAAGCACAAGATTATCAAAGCGCAACGGCTGACTTGTTCAAGTGTTATTTCCAATCAGAAGATCGAGTATTTTTCCGATTATCTAATCCAGACATTTTAATGTCACAAAAGCTCCGTCTATATCATGAGCCTATTCTAATTGTGCATCGTCCTATAATCGGATCACATTGCGGTCCAAACAAACCATCCCAGGCATGATTCAAGCCATGTTGGGATATTGACTATTCTTTACAAAGACTATGAACTTTTGGCACATGGCAATATTCCCGCCGCAAGAGAAGTACGAAGAAGTAAGTTTTCCCAATAAATAGGTGATTTAGGATTCCATCATAGCAAAGTGGATAGGTAGACTTCATATGCAATAAAAAATATCAAGGTTGAAAGCCTAAGGAAACTTAAATGTTTATGGAATTCCTAATAGAGTTGGAGAATAAGAAGAAAAACGTATCAAGTTCTGAAATTTTCCCTTCTTATTCTCAGTCCGGATAGGTATACCGAATTATGTTGGCAGTTCGAATAAGGAAAGATCACGCAATAATTCTACACAACGTAGGAATTACTCAAATCACGTAGTGAGAGTGTTAATTAAGTCAGCAAATTCTGAGACCAGAAAACTCGGATACCTATACCCATTTTCATTATTCCTCGGAATGCTAAGAGCCTTGAGATCACAGTTACTTAACAATGGTTTAAACGACAAACCTGGATCAACTTCCTGTTTGATTGCCTCCAGGAGTTTTGCAACAAAAGGCCTCAAAATTCGGTCACGAATACTGCCGGAAGGGTCCTGCCTTAACGATTTCACTAACTCTTTTGGGATATATTTTGGGATTAACTGGCTTTTCCTGTCCATGTATGTGTCACCACATGTGCAGTTGCATCGATACTTAAGGATTAGGCTAATAAGCATCTGCTTGAATTCCATCTCAGTGACAAGAAAATGGAACCGTACATACTTTGTGACCCCAGAATGTCAAAAAAAGTTATCTCACTGAATGACCCTCAGGATTTCAGGATAGACTGAAAAGAAGGTCTTATCGAGAAAAACCGTATGTTTGAATCGCCTCTGATACTCGTTTCTATAACTGGTTTTAAAATAATAAATCAGTTATGTGGGACTGCTATGCACAAATCAACTGGTAAACACACTCACCCACTATTGATTTAAGGAGCTTGACAGAGAAGTCAAGGTTAGTCAGTAGCTTAATGTGATTCGCTAAATTATTGGCGCTTATCAAATTACTGGACAGCTGAAGATGCCGAATGTCCTGGTGTTCGAGTGGGTTGGTGCCTTCGTTTACCGCTTTGGAGGTTAGAGGTTCCAAACTCGCCACCATGGTCAGTTTTGGTGGTATAGTGTAACACACTGTTGTCCGACTCATCACCACACCCGGCCCGGTTGGATCTTATACGGTTCTCCACTACAATCTTGCTGCCTGGTTGTCAGCTATACTTAGTTTCACAGTGGGCCATTGGGACTATGAAGTGCACTTCTTCCATTTCACTCATGCGCAAGCATGTGATTAAAGAAACTACGTTTTCAATCCTTCTTCTGATGTGAAGAAGTCCCCAAGTAGTTTGCTTACCGTGATTTCGATTGCACCAAGTTGAAATAGCAGTCAAAATCAGAGTGAGTCCATGTGAGAATATCGAGTAACAAAACTCAGTTGAACTGGAAAAAATATACCAATAACCTTTGCATGAGCACATGTGAGTTATCATCCTTTCCTTATACTGTATACGATTTCAAACAATCTAACATTATTCACTTGGGGAGAGTGAAAGGGTTTTCTCCCACACCTGTTAACAAGTGAAAAGAAAGAAGAAGTTTTAGGACGACCTCGAAGTATCTGCATTACGGAGTGGCCAGAGCTCTCAATCATGGAACGAAACGCTATTCACCGAATTAACACGTACTCATCTCTTCAAAGAATGCCTTAGGTTAGCGGAATTCAACTTGACTCACTTTTGCGATACCTTCTCAAACTGAGACGCAGTTCTTGTGGAGCATACAGTTATAGACCATTTTTGTGGTCAGTATAAATGATTAACGCAGCCTCATTTTCATTAGATTCTTGTAGTCTTTAAACCTGATGGATCAATGCGCACATCATATTTTGAGATCTCGGTAACCAAAGGATCATTTGTCTGTTGCGTTTTTTGTGCATAACCTCCCAAAGAAAGACAATGTAGCTGGTTTATTCTAAACCAAAATCTGTTCGATGAACCAAACGGCACACACAATACATGTTCACTTCTCAGCAGCAAAGTTTCAAAAACTTTTGGTACAAAATGATCCAGAAGTGCTTCACTGGAGACAGCAAACAGTGGTGAAATTTGAATTGGCACACTAATCTGAATCAAATTCAACCATAGTAACAATTTGAGAAATAATAAACACTCCACAGACACCCATTTTCTCACCAAACATTTACAAAGCGAAATCCTGTCAACGTAGCAAAATACCACTCAAGATTTTAGGAGTTTGATATTTATCGCTATTTAAGTGCTCAAAGAACCGTTGAACCCAGAAAACCGATACACTTTGGTTTGTCATAATCCCTTGTTCATTCCGTTTTAGTGCGTATTTCACGAATATTAAGATTAGAGTAAAGTTCCTCAAGTGATTGCCCAGAAGGTTGGGGTGCATAGCAAACTTATTTCTTAATCAGTGGCCCCGAAGGATCCGCTGATTATGGGTTAAAATTTCAAAAAGAAGGAATGACTTCTTCTCACTCATAATTAGCCCAAATAAGACTGATGAGTTACAAAGAAAAGTAAAGAACTTATAACTTTAATCAACTTTTACCGATTTCGCATTAAATGATTCATCATGTAGTACCAAAGCTCAATTCACCATTGAAATCCCTTTTATTTGCCCCCATAGTAGTCATTTCGATGGATGCTTTGCACCGTTTACTTTGATCATAGGTCTACCTACGTCTTTTGGCTTACAACATGCAACGAAGAGAGATGTATTCGGAAGGAGAAAGTCGTGAAGTCTCCGGAAGCGGGCAGAGTAGGAGTGGTGGCAGCGTGAGCGGTGGTGGCACCGGCGGAGGTGTTGCTCCAACTGGACGAGAAAATGAGAACACAGAGAATTCAGCTGATTCCCGAACATCGCACGGCTCGGGTCAGGGGGAAAATTCCAAACGATCAGCTTCTGGTAGTACTACTGGCGGTGGTGCAGAGGACACGCAACGTTTGCGTGATGAATTTTCGGTTACAATGTACAAATTTAGCACCGTTTTGGAAGAGACCATCACAGCACTACAAGGAGTGTTCAATTTGGAAGAGCCTGATTTTATGCCATCGGAAAACTATCGCATCGATCCGCCGCGTGATTTTGCCATGATTCCAAAAATCTCCCGTCTTTTCAGAGTTTGGGGTAAGTATGCTAGTCGTCAGTAAAATGAAATTCAATTTTAAAACCAAGAGTCAAAATAATTAACAGCGGCTGTTTATTTTGCAAGTAAGCCTCTAAGATCCAAGCACTGGTATTAGGAGTAGTATAAATTGTAGCTATTGTTGTTGTTGTTGTTGTTTTTATTATTGTTGTTATAGTAGTAGCAGTAGTAGTAGTAGTAATAGTGGTAGTTCAGTTCAGTTCAGTTCATCCGACCGTTAATCTCGCAATTGTGTGCTCGGTTACTACCTTCCAGCATCTTCCAGTTAACGGCAAAAAGAATAGAAGCACAGTGTGAGGAAGAGCTGAAAACAAAGTAATCAATGGAACTCATGAAGTAGAAGGAATAGATCGAATGCAACTACCCGACCGTCCGCGACACACAGCAATACCACTTATGATTTCCAACCATTTGGTAGGCAGATCACGTGTTCCCCAAACCGGAAGTCTTACACAACCTGCTCGGCCAAGTCCACTGGTCAAAGTTTCCATACCTTGCTGCCATATCATGGACTGACCACCTCGACCAACCTTGCAACAACTACCTTCCTCGGAGCTCAGCATGAGCCGACGAAGTCTATCTGTGGGAATGCGCAACACATGTCCCAACCATCTTCATCAGCTTAGATCCAGTACTCGATCCAGAGACTGACTTCTGGTTCCCAACACCTGATACTGAACCTCAGCATTGCTGATATGGAACTCCCTCTATATTGGAGCAGTGTTACGGAGATATCGATACTCAAACATCGACAGTCTTTGCCTGACTTCCACCCTTACTGGCCAAGTTTCTAAGCTGTATAAAGAACAGACCTATCCACGGTAGTGTACAGTCGACCCTTGACAAAACAATGGAATGTCACGCCAGAGCCACAAATGGCTTAGGTTAGCAGGCGCCAAACGAGTCTTCTGTGTGCGCGATGACACTTCATCTGATATCTATCCACCTGATGAGGTTTAACTGTCCAGGTAACAAAACCTATCTACTTCAGCTGGAGCTTCGCCTGCCAAGACGCTGAACATTCTGTGGATGACAATAGTTGGTTCCGTGACCAGGATGGAGATTCAGTCACCGCAGTCCTTCGAGAAGGGAGATGTACGGAGCTCCCTGGAGGAATTCACGGATGTGGCGGAGCAGGCGGGTATTCAGTCGGACCGCGGTAAGTTGGTGACCCTTCGAGAGCTTCCCAGGGGCAGAGCGCGGGCGGTGCTGGATGCGGTGCGAAGAGGCCAGGAGAAGATGGAGTTGGCCACAGGGCTGGATCCCTTGATCATGGGGTTCGATACCCCGGCCGACCTTCGGGAGGCAACGCGACAGTTCAAGACTGGGCCAGCTGGGAGCTGGTGTGGTCCAGCTGGTGCATGATGTCGCCCTCCTTTCACTTCTGGACTGTGCACTGCCCACGCTAGACGCAGAGGTGTGCACGCAGATGTTAGCGGACCTCTTTGTGAACCGCTTGCCGAAGTCTATGCAGGGCAGAATACGTGTCGTCCGCGTCGGTCGCAATATACATATTTTGCAGATAGTGGAAGCCCTTTGTGAGTTATCCAATCTCGACACGACGGTAGAAAATTTGGCTAACGGAGAAGACTCAAGACTGGAGAATCAATGCATTGAGGAACAATCACAGATGTGTTTTCGAAGGAAGGGGAAATCGATGACTTCATAGAAGCCGAATAAAGCCCGGTGTCTGGACTCCGGAAAAGTGGAACATTTTTGGCGTCAACGTCGCAAACGCCAACAGCACGATGTAAGAAATAAAGATCCGCACCGTGTTTTCTAGATCAGGACGTTATCGTGGCAGTAGATGGTGGAGCTATACCAGCATAAGACGAGATTAATGGGCGTAATGAAGTTCTCTTGATAGATACCGGTGCGGTGGCTTCGTTGGCCAGGCTTTCGTCAGGTGAGAAAGTGTATTTGCCTGCCATGAAAGTCAGGACGGTCGAAGGACACACACAGAACATAGACGCAACTGCACAACGGGTGATTCGAATAAACGATAGAACCTTGAAGCATGAGTTCGTAATATCACGCGGCACCAACCAAACAATACTGGGCACCGATCCCTTGCGGACACTGAACGCGGTGGTCGATCTAAAAAATATCGGCATTACTAATGAAATACGTAGTAGTGTGAACCTAGCGTTTCAACAGACCATACAAGAATTCGCGGAGCTGTTTATGACGAATGACCCACACGGTCTTGTGACTGGATGGTACACGAAATACCTAAAATACCTGGAGCATTTTGGCCATATGCACCTCATAGTATTCCCGTTCATCTGGAGAATGAAGTAAAACGTCAAGTGGCCGATATGCTGGAAGGAGTAACCGAAAAAGCGCGGAGACCGTACCACGCACCTGTGCTGCTGGTGAGAAAGCCCAACGGAAAATTTCGATTTTGTTTTAATTTTTGTCATGTAAGCGATATAACAATACACAAGCGGGTGCCGGTGCTATCATCAACAGAGATATTCAATAAACTGCAAGCAGCCACCACATTTTCGATGACCGACCTGCTTTCAGGATACTGACAAGAGCCAATAAATAAGGAGGATCAAGATTAAATATCATTCACTTTCGGGGAGAGCAGTACCTTTTTCTGAGGATGCCATTCGCCTTATCAGGAGCACAGCTTACCTTTCGTTTGCCAATGCCTAAATTATTAACGGGACTAACAAACTTTGTGGTCTACGGAGACGATATCGTAATCTACAGTCATACGGTGAACGAACCTCGTAAGAATCACCGTGTAATTCTAAAAACGAACTCTCCGTCCATTCCTGCTCCACACGATTCAGATGAGACTACAGCTGTAAACCAACTACAGAGTGTTCAAGTATAGGGATAGTTTGGCAGAGGAGTACCGGGTAAGCATACCTGAAGAGCGTCAAAACCATGAAACCTGTCTTGTGCTTAGGGGAAATTTTATCCTGTCATCCAGGTACAATGTCATTTCGAAGATGTTGTAGATTTGGAGAAGCTGCTGAGACGCGTGAAGAAGTCAGGACTGAGAATAAATGAACTAAAGTTCTAGATAGGAACACCGATGGTCACCCTTCTGGGCCACAAGTTTGTCAACGAAGGACTACAACCTCTTCCCGATGAATTTCTCAAACTGAAGGAATTTCCAGTACCAACCTCTAAAAGATCACTGAGACGGTTCTTGGGTTGTGCTGCATACTACAATCGATTTGCGAAAAACTTCACACCTATCGTAAACCTTCTTGCTCCCTTCTCAAGAAGCAGCCCAGAGGCGCATCTGGCATTCTGTAAAATCTAAAGCATAACGTCGAACGAAAACCTCACGTTACAGCTGCCTGTCGTCTGGGAGCCGTTCACGGTCAGTACACATGCCAGTGATGTAGATATCAGAGCATTGCTAAAGAAGATGAGGGGTGTTGTGGAATACGCAGGCAGAGTGCTCACATCAGCAGAGAGAAAATACTCCGTAACTGAAAAGGAATGTTTGGCTATAGTGTGGGCGTTGGAGAAGTGGCGACCATATCTGTTAGGTCAACGGTTTCACATTGAGATTGATCACAAATGGCTGGAGTGGATCAAAACAGCAAAGGATCCTCCAGGCAAACTGGCCCGATGGACTCTTTGTCTCCAGGAATTCGGTTTTACCAATGATCATGCCGCTGGCACAGACAATGACCAGTGTGCTATCCCGTTCTGAGGAAACGGATCCTGATAATAACATTCTTACCGAAGTCAGCAAGCTGCAACTGGAGCAAGATCCCCAGAGACTAATAGCTCAACAACGACATGATCAGCAACCGAAGAAAATAATTCAGGCACTGGCAAGTGGTGAGACACTGCTGGCAAATGATGAAAAGCGCCTCTGGCGACCAACCTGGCAGCATCTCCATCTGAACGCAGCAAATGTACCCATGAAGTGACTGTCCGGGTCAAAAGAGTCGGTGGTCATCGTGCCTGAAAACAAGCGCAACCAACTAATCAGAGTCACGAGTTGGCCCACACCGGCTACAATCGAACATATGTCTTAATTCAGCAAAGAGAGCATTGGCCACATATGCGAAATGATGTGATGAATCAGGTCTTGGCCTGCGAGCAATGCCAACTTTTCTAATCCGACTTGCTCATCGCTCAGTGTGCAGTACAGTCGATTCCAATTTCAGAGATAGGATAATTGTGGTCCATTGATCTGATGGGGCCATTTCCGAAGTCACATCGAGGCAATCAATACATAGGGGTTACGACCAAACATTTAACGCGCTAGGTTGAGGCCATCGGCTTTCCGGATCAACGCGCCAATACTGTCAGTACGGTCGTGATGGAACATCGTAGCCAGTCATGGGGTTCAGCAATCGATCATCACCGACCAAGGTCTATGTTTTGACAGCGATGAATTTCGGGCATGTCTGGAGAAACTTGGAATCCAAAGGATAGGCACAACCCTGTATCATCCTCAAACTAACGGAACGGAAGAATCGCACTATTAAGGAATGGATGGTGACAAAAGGCGGAAGTCGGGAGCGAGCACTACCATTGTAGTTGGTATCACATCGCTCCTCAAGGCAGTCCTGCACGAAATAATCCCCGTTTCAATTGATGTATGGCAGGATAGTGAGATTGCCCTCTGCCCTTGAAGTGGACCTACGACCATCTTTTCAGATGGAACTTATCAGACTCCATCACCCATGACCAGACATAGGGTAGAACTTGAGAGAAACTCAGGAAAGCTCAATGCAAGCCTGAAGTACGCAAATTGCAATTGAACCGGAGTCGTTCGCGGTGGGTACTGGGGTGAATTACAAGCAGCGCTTTGGGGTTGAGTAATGGCCCTGGATCACGGAAGCTTCTGCCAAGTGAAGAGGGCTGTATTCTACCCCGGAAGCCTACCACCTTGTCTATAAGATAGGGCGCGCTCACCTGGAATGGCATGTGCACCGGAGTAAGCTACAGTATTGGCATAAACACCCTCAACAAAGCACATCACGGACAGAATTTGCGGCTTGATGAGGACACCCCAAGGACCAGTGCGGAGGGCATCTGAAGAGTCCACAGAACATGGATAGTTTTTTTGTTAGGACGAAGGGGAGTGTTGGGGTTTGCGTGCTACTTACTGGATGAGTAAGTAGCTGATTGCTCAAAAAAACAACTACTGTCAATGGTGGATCAACAACGAACACTACTAAGTGAGACAAACCGAATGCTCTAAGGCAGAGAGAAGATATGCAGCCCCCTTGACTGCATTCTCCGACTAAATAACTACCGTCTTCAAGTGCATCGGACAGCTATTATGCAAATGAGTATTATTGTTGCCAAATTCGATTGATTTCGTTGATGTTCCAGGTTGCAGATGATTGGGTGCGTCTTGTTAGTCATAGCAATAATCGTGGTAGTTGTGGTAGTAGGGCAGTCCGTTGTTCGGTCGTCGAATTTCCCTTCTGGTGTTTGTTCATTAGGATTTAAAGTAAAATGTTTTGAGATTCTTAACCGAGTTTCTTGTCTCCGTTTGGCTTGAAAGAGGGACGAAAATGTGTGCATCTTTTGGTAGATGAATTTACAATTAGAATTTTTTGATGTCAGCATTGGTAAACCCCACCTGTAAGCTTTTTGTATGCTGCACAAGAGTATTCCGTTTTCTACAGACTTTCAGTGTAAAGAGTAGTGAGCGAAATATCCATCATAACCGTTAGTGGAACTTGAAGTTAGACAGAACTGCTTCCGAAAACAGTGCTACTTAATGCACGTTCTCAGTTACTATGTTTCCCGCTTTTTTCATGGATATTTTTATAAGTGGGACATCTCAAGCGGCAATGATGTATTTTAATCAGACCCAAGACACGGTGATACACGCCTTAAATTTTCGACTCACTCTTGTTTTTAATCATCAATACTTCAGATGAACAAATAAATCAGGTTCTGACGAATCTGAACAAACCAAGACCAATCAGTACTGGGCCATTGGAAGAAGTTGACCACTGGCGTTATCGATGCAAAATTCTCACAGCCGTGGCAGAGGCACTGCGAACGAAAACAGCGCGTTGGGTCATCAATGCCTGGTCTACTCTGAACCCGGATGCAGAACCCTATTCGCGAGGGGCAGAAATTAAGGCGCTGATGTTAGAAGCTAAGGATAATTCCAGGTAAATTAAGTCACGATTAGAATGACTTTTAGTCTGTATGGGTAATGACGATACCGTGAACTTATGCCATGAAACTTAACGCCTTTAGCTGATGAACCGTAGTCAGATTCATCATCATCATCATCATCATCATCATCATTCAGATTCATCAACGCTTTTAAACAACTCGGGAGCAATTCGCCTCCTGTTTTTGTTGGAGCATTATTAACCATGCAGTCCAAGTTATTCAATGCGCTTAGTGCAGTCTTTCTTAAGTTAGCCTTCGGACTTGGCCATTTAAGCAATTATATAGTAAAAAGTTTATTTTGGCTTTAATCTTTAGATCATCATGAGAGTATCTTTGTCGGCTTCTGAATAATTGAGGATGAAATCAGTTTCACACCCTGGGTTGTGAACAGCCCATTGTTCCGTGTGGTGAACCTCACTGCCTCTCGCAGCGTAATAATCGTGATTATGAGGAAAAGTACAGTATTAAAAATGTTCGTAAGACTTTTATTTTTACTGCTTTGTTGACTATTTCCTGCCAGGTTATTGCTGTTTTAACTTCTTTTTGGCCTCTCTAGGTTTTATTCGCACAGCTCAGTCCACTTCGATCCCCGCGCGCATAGCAGACGCACCATCAATCTAGGTGAATTGCATGGAATATGGATCTATACTTAAGGAACCTTAGCAAATACGATGAGTAAAACGCACAACTTGAAGTCTCCAAACGCACCGACGTCTATGGTTCCGCGAAGTCATGACGAAACACGCGGGCTCAAAAGAGTGAGGTTCAAGCAAATATTATCCCTAATGGACTGCGAAATAAGTGTAACCTCAGCAAAGAAAGCAAGAAACAGATAAAAATGCAAGCAAATAGATTGTCTATGAATATAAGACCACTCTTTTGAATGATCGAAATGTAACCAATCAGACTAACAATTAAACTCTTAACTATAAAGCCAAGTAGCAATTAAAAGTGATAGTCAAAAAAACAGCGTGAAATGTGTAAATAAAATGTGGGTCATACAATTATAACGACTCGATGATTGACCCATTCCAAGCAATTTCTAGTTCACTTACGTTTAAGTAGGTCAGAGAATACGCCTTCTTTGAAATTTTGGTTATCTAGTGCAGTGCATATCGCGGAACTTTGACGTGGTTCACCCATTTCTATTTTTCCCAATTATAAGTAGGAAGCTTGTGAATAGTTAGCGGAACAGTCACACTGTTTAACCCATGTTCCCAGCATACAAAGTATATCGCCGTAATCAGTTCACTTATCAAGCAGCTGATCAATGAACTAAGATCGTGAGCCGTCTCTTGTGTAACCGGTCTTGTGGATTGTCACATAAGAATGTACTACGTTTTTCAAAATGACGATGAACAACAGATGGATGGTACTCAGAATACACACGATCGATAATCCATATTACGAAAAGGCGCTACCAAAAGGCCACTGATGGCAACCAAGAAGTCGCAGAAATCAGGGTAGCAATTGGTGAAGCTTGACTGTTGACTAAATGATTTACTTATATACAACAGTATTCAGAATTTAGTATGGTGACGTAGAACAACGTATGTAGGGGTCAATTAGTTGATGAACACAAACAACAATCAGTCAGAGCTATGAGAGCATGAAAAGCGCAAAATACGGCACAGCCGACTGATTGCATGGAAACATGTGGAAAATATACGTCAGGACACCTGGCCTGGTGTGCGTGGGATCGTGGATTCAAATAAGGTAACAAGAAAATACACAAACACCGCGAGCTACCTTGACGATATGGGAAGCTGGGCACACTTGTTTGCCCATTTGGAGGATGTCGGTCACATTTGCGATAGTCAAAATAAATAAAAAAATTGTGTCTTCGATCCTATGAACAATGATGCTCTTCACAGAATTTCTCTTCTCTTTCGTAGTGTTTGTCTGTAATTGGACATCAGTAATTCCCCTCAGAGTTAAAAACTGGGATTCAACCAGTTTGAAGTGGGTATGAAACTCGGTATGTACATGGTGTAATCATCCAGTCACGTTGGCATATGAGTCGGTCACCAAGGGTTTTATAAAAATTCTGGATAGTCATCTACCTGTAGTCGTAGAAGAGAGACAAGAGCGCTTCTTTCTTCAAATTAATTGCTCTTCGTTCAAGTACCCTAGTCTGTTATTCTTCACAGATGCATAAATTGGAGAGCGTTTTGTCAAACTTTTGAACACTGACTGAATTCCCACACCACGGTAACCTTCAGAACCCAAAAATGTTTTTCTGAATATCCTCTTTCTTACGAAGGCTTGGTTCAGTTTATTATTACACTGTGGTAAGTGACTTTCTTAGGTTCATCATTTCTCTACTTGGGCTTCAAAACCAACAGCAATTCGTACAAAATGAATGACCGCAAGAGCTCTTTACTAAAGGCTGACTTTTCTTCCTTACTAGAAGCCTAAATGCAACTCTTGTGGTCCTTCGGGTTTTGATCTGCGATTTTTCCAATGAAGGCCTGCACAATCGATCCCCGTTGCAACTCCCATCGCATCCATCCGGTAACGTAATCAGAAGCCAAAGGCACAACATGTCAGGTGACAGTGTATTGGTATAAAACAAATTCAGACAATCTAAAGTGAAAATAGGGTGATCTCGAACGTACCCCTCCGGTAGAATTGTTGCTCGTGGGATCTGGCTATGTCGGACCGGTTTCTTCAATGTTCACACTGCTGGTTTAGCCGCATGCCTGAGTGGAGATGTACTGATTGGTGGACCAGGTTTGATACGTTTGCTTGATCAGTGGGTTGGACTCACGTAGGTTTTCGCGACACTGACACTAATGACATTGCAAATCCTCCGCTTTACGCCGTAAGTGATGTCCTTTCACGCTGTTTTAACCGTACGTGACTGGCCAGCCCTGCTGTCGCCTTCGCACGCTCATCCACGCCAGTGTTTTTATCGATTTGTACTCGTGTCATCTTTGCTTCGTACAACAGTTCTGCTAGTAAACTCCACTTAAATCGTTCTGGTTCAGTGACTCGTGTTTTCTTTCCAACTGTGATAACCGGACCAGGGATCTCAGTTATAACAATACGACTTTTTATTTTTGTTGTCCAACTTATTTTGAGGATCAAAAAATGGCTCGTATGAGTAAAAAGTGACAGGGAATTCTCGGGAACTGTCTGACTTTCCTCAGACGACGACGGCGACGTTAAGCAGACTGCAATGTTGATGTAATCCTCAAATGTGCGTAAAGGAAAGATGTGAATTGAAAACCCAAATGCTTTGTTTGAAAGTGAGTAAAACTTCAAGCGTCGATAGTGTCACCATTCACGCTAGGAAGTCCGTGAACAGAATGCGGCGCAGGCAAGTTCTATGTGGTTGGTTGCAATTTACGGAAAACGTCGGTCACTTACTTTAAATTGACGCGAGTGGTGTAATTTGTCAACTTGAAATTCGGTTCTGTTAAACTTAGCATTATGGTAATTTCTTACCGACTGCAGAGCAATTCTAGCTACGCTCACCTTTTCTTTTACATTTGAGGACTTTGTTTGCAGTAATATTCACCAGGGTCTATCCGTTCGCACAAAAGCCATCAGTGGAGTTCATCCATTTTTCTGTCAACTAAATTTTGTGATCCACAACGAAAGCCATCCGCAGAGAAGTAAGAATCATCTTGTTTGTTGCAAATCGTGATAAGTATGAATTTCATATATCTGCTTGCTACATATTATAACATAAATGCCTAATTTGTAAACCCTAAATTGAAAATAGATTTCTCCTTCTGGTGGAACGTCACTTTAAAAACGTGCAATTCGGTCCGAGTTTTGACTCCGTCGCAGACACCATCCCTGCCATGGTTCAGTCGTTACGGCTGATATGGACTATTTCCCGTGGTTACAACAAAGACGAAAGGATGGGACCCTTGCTTCAGCGAATTGCATGGGCATTGTGTGATCGAGTGGTTAGCGTTATGGAAATCAGCCGTTTATTCAGGTTAGTACAATGATTACATCCACCCCGAAGTGTTATATTCGGAAACGATATATTAGGACAATCATAATAAGCAGAATGTTTAGCTCAAAGGTTTTGATGAGCAAAAATCATGCAGTGAGGCCTTCAAATTGCAGCTTTGTTGGTTTAGTCAAACTTTGCTAGTCTAAGCACAACTGAACACATTCATCAGGTAGATTTCTTGCATAAATAAGTCTGAAATTTATCCTTCCACAATAATCTATTTGTTGATTTGTCTTTTTCCACCAGCTAGTTTTCAGTAATTAAGTTTTAAGCCTACAGAATCCAACTTTCTTAAGTAACTCTTCCGCTAAAGAAAAAGCTTGGAACAAGCCATACAGGAAGACTACCGGCACCTGAGAGCTAAAATAATTGAAGCGCCTATCGAATTTTACGAGGATGCTGGATCAGTATTGCTGAGGAAAGGCTTTTAGCATTTGGATACATGAAATAAATCATTAGATTAAACACCAAAGCTAGCCACTTCATACCTATTGGGGCAGGTGTTGTACATGCTTCGGTGTGATATCCAGAGATGGAAAGAGGTTGCGAAATAGTTGAGAGTGGCCAGTTCATTACGAGCAAAGAATATATCAAAAATCCTGACCAATGAATTTGTTTGTTTTGAGGCCTGTGAGGCTACCCGTTTAATGTTCAAGAGAAGCATTTGCTCATTGGTTAGATGCGTTGTGAGATTTGGTCGTGCTTCGTGGTATTCACTTATGTATCATTTGCCCGCTGATCTAACATTATCGTTATCTCTTTTGTTTCGTTTTTCATACCGTTGATTTTTCCGGTTTCCGAATGAGGTCCCTGTTGAGAGGCAGAAACTAGAACCAGCACTCTGCCTTTCAAACTAAACCGAGCAGACATACTTTGTGCATCAGTAGTAGGAGATTAGGTTGGTATAATATGATTCATCATGCAGTTCCAAAGCCCAGCCACTGGCTAGGGCCTTACTCGTATCTTGGTACAGTTCGGAGACAGTGATGGGAGATTGCTATATTATGTTGTGTATACGTTTAACAAAGCGTTGGGATCCAACCTGGGTCCCCTGGTGGTCAGTTGTTGGTCTCAGAATCGTTAACCCCGGATTCGGCTCCCAGAGGGGGCTCAGTGGATGTGAATCGCTGATGATTCCTAACAAGGGTGAGACAGTTGTACAGAGCTTCCGTGGTTTTCAACGATGAGTTGGACGTTGAAACTGTATGATGAATCATTTTATGCAGCTACACTTCGCCTGGACGAGAATCCTTTATTATACAATTACCTATTGAAATGGTAGAAAGTAGTTAGGCACTTAATGCTGACATATTGTTGTAAAACTGCCATCCATGGTCTAACAAAAGATTACTTTCTTAATTCTGATTGGAAAACCAATGGAAAATGGAAAGTTACTGAGCAGATATGCGTAACGATTGCAAAGCACTGAGACATTCATTTTTTGTATCAACGGTATCGACTCTAACCATTACTAGTACTTGCACTAAGCAAACACAGTTTAATGGTGAGGCTTTCTCTCTGTCGCCCTCTCTCACACACACATATCTTCACTAACGCACACTTCTTGTTTCTTTCAATTCCCTTGCCAATTCCGTATACGTAGTCAGTCAATTCGAACCATCCTTCGTGAAGTGAAAGCTGCCATCCGAATGTTAACTTTGTTCGAGGACACGTATTTACAGGAAAGACAACGCGTAGAAGCAACCTCACAAGACAATCGATGGGAATTTGATCGAAAAATACTTTTCGGTGATATTCATTATATGAAAAAAATTCTCACGGATATTTTTGAGATGGCCAAGGTAAAAATGGAGACTCTTTTCTGGTAATTTATTTATTCATTATGCATCAACTGTTCGAAAGCTTGTTTTCTTAGGAATTGATGGTTATAACTGGACCATTTAATTAGAAGTCTGATTATAGATTAAATGCTGATGGCAGTTTCGTTTCCGCCAGCAGATATTCCACTAAGTAGCATGCAGGATTTTTGTTTCCTTCAGTACGCATTGCATCCATCGCACAAAAGGACTCACGGATATTTGCAAAAGTTACTAACTAGTTGTCTTATTTTCTGTTTTTGTTCGTCTACTTGATTAACACGATTTGCAATAGGAAGGATACAGCCCTCAATCAAAAGACATAAATTTTTCTGTGGAAGAAGGTTTGGGTGAGCCATGTAAAACCTTGTTTGGTTATTCTCCGCTTTAAATTGTGAAGATCAAAGGGGAAGAAGATACACAAACAGTAGGAGAGGTTGTTTCACAATTCCACAGTTCTCGAAATGAGTGAAGAGCTATGACCTATGGGAGATGATAGTCAATTAAATGGGTGATCTTTGCCTGCGCACGGGACGAACATTTAAAAGCAGCTCAAATCGGAACCAGGAAAGCAAGCTTCTTAGAACAGAATCAGTAACAATAACAGTAAAAGAGAGACAGACAGAGGAAAGCAATGCGGCAAAAGGCTAGTGACTACGAGTTGGATGTTTTTACGAGGTCATTGATAAGAAGAATGGTCTTGCTTTGGGCAGGGTCAAGGCGAGATAATGGAGAAGAAGGGATCCCTCCTCAGATATAATTGTAACTTTCGATGGTGAGGGGAATTTGGGTCTTGTGTGAAAAGTAAGATGAATGAATTCAAAGAATGTTTGACACAAAAATGAAAAACAGTCTTTTGGTGCTCTCGAAGAAATAGCAGTACATGTGGGGGCCAAGGAGGGGAACTGGAAAATGAAAATGCAAGAAGAACCGAAGAAGATTTGGACCTAACAGCAGCAGAGTCGAACCTAAGAGCTGAATGGTGAACGTTTCGTTTTCAGATAGACAGACTGTTTTAGGGGCACTAAAATACACACTGTTATCTGAGCCTCAGGCTATTTATTATTCAATCAAGATCGGAATTCAGTGATACATAAACAATGGAGCAATCGCTAGAGATGTTAGCCAATGAGCCACGAGAATATGGGTTGGACAAATAGCAGCAGAAGGTGGTCGTAGGTAGAAGCACGAATGAGGTTTGGAAAGGTGAGGAGAATATCACAGATGAAAGACCAGATCAGTGTGGGGGTCAGGACAAAACCGTGAAGCACCCCAGCGGTCACTTGGAATAAGCCTGACAAAGCTCCATCGACTCGGATCACAATGACTCCTCCAAGGAAGATATTTGAATCCAAGAACTGAGTTCAAATTAGAATTAGAATACAGTTATATCTACTAAAACCTCAGCGCCTCACTTGATCAATGGCTTTTCAGACTTATGAAGACATCGGAAGAAGTTCGCCTTGGTTGCTCATCCCATGGAACCAGATGTGTGAGACACATGCCAACAAACCACCAGAGCTTTCGTGGTAGCGAAAACCATACTATCGAAATTCAGTTCCTCAAGAAATGCAATCAGTTTACTGTTACACCTTTCAACACGGAAATCTTACATGTGGTTTATTCCTAGGGGACTTATTGAGACTTTTCAAGCAGTCAGGAGGTTAGATTGAGAACAAGTCGAGCAAAATTCACTTTATGAACAATTAGGAAATGTCGCTGATTTGATATATATATATATATATATATATATATATATATATATATATATATATATATATGTATATAGCACGTACCAATGGTTATTCACGAGTGTATGATGTTCCAGAGAAGACAGAAGCTTTTCTGTGATCACGATTTCCAAAATTCCGAACAGACCTTTGTGACAGAAACGAGTCGGTAGTTAGTAGGTCATGTGGGATCGTCAAACTTTGGGATGGAAAAACGTTTGCAGTCTTCTAATATGACGAAAATAGCTTTTATGGGGACAGATGTAATAACCGACGGAGATTGGATGTAAGTTCTGAAACAGTTAATCAGCATAATGAGGGGGAATGCCATTGTAGACAGGATATTTCGCGATGCGAAGTAAAGGCCGAGCTTTCAGACGTTTCTGGAAGTAGATTTGACTTTAAAAATGTTCTGAAACAGTACAGATGAACCACATACAGTAAAAGACTTTCCTAGAGTGAATTTCACGGAATTGTGGCCGCACAATAGTCAGCCTTTCCCAACGGATCAGATACATACGTTCGTGGAAAATTTGAAATGAGGAGAAATTAAAGTAGTTAAAAAATATGGGAAACATCTTTCGCGAACGTCCAAAAGGAACGGTTATCAATGGCACATGATTCTGAGTTTTATTCACTGCAGCAAAAAAAAATGATTGCTGTCATGTAGCGCAGTATTTTCTACGCGCTCACAAGTAGCAGTCTTATAAGTATGGGATTTTGGAGTGGCTCCAGAGTTTGACAAAAACTTCTTTCCTTCGCATTGCTCGAATATATGCATGGATGATCCGTTTGGGCGATCGAAACTTTCCGGACTCCGAATGATGTGATCGTCGTCAAGTGATCACTCATTAGTATGTGGTTGAACTACCTCCGGATGACATAACAGCATTCACTCGTCGACTCATGTTCCCTATCAACAGCCCGATAGCATCTAGTAGCATACGATCTCATTCCCACTCTAAGGCAATCCTCAACTCCTCTAGAGTTTCACACTGCTGTCTCTGATCAACTTCCCTCCTAAGTTGCTCCTACAAAATCCGATTGGATTGTGATCAAAGGATCGAGCTGGCCAAGAGATCGTCTTTGTCTCGTGATGTGCGTCGAACTCACGTACGAGAAGGGAACAAAATGCAGCCGCATTCTCGTCCTGTAAAATCGCATTAGTAGTTTAGCGCCACAGTGACAAGATGTGCCACACCAGGACTTCTAGGAATATCAGTTTACTCCGACCTTCCCACCAGATGGTTCACCAGACAAGCACTGAAATAACATTATGCTGCATTGTTGCTGTCATCATACTAATTTTATTGGTTTCGGAGATTTATTTCCAAACACGCCTTCGACGATCATGTTCTGATGACGAAAGTGCTGATTCTCCAGCCCAAATGATTCACTCCCATTATTGAATCGACCGATAATCTGCTCACTGTCCTTCTTGAAAGACCAAAGTACTCCGTAATCTCGTAATATGACCTGGTGATGTACATCTTCCGATGGCTCTCCTTACGTGCTTCATCTTATGTTAGCAAGTGAACTTGAAATGGCAGACAGATGCGTGGGCCGTCAGACTAGGAAGTACATGCAGTTGTGTTTCAATGGTTTTAAATGTTTGTGTTAGTTGTAGCTCGAATTATTGGTTGCCATGATGTTCCGATCTCTGAGCTTGGCGTTCAGATCGCAAGCGTTTCATCACCAGTCGAGGTGACATAGTTAATGCATGTGCATTGTTGGAGGTGTTCTTCTGCATTTATTGATTTGTCATTAGTTCTGACATTGAGCCTCTTAGATAACCTAGTGCCCAAACCTCGATGTTTGTTTTTCTGCTTGGCCTCTACTAGCGTGAACTTCGACCTTAGACAGTTGACGTTTCATTAGAGGAGCTTGACCTCTTGCACTTTGCGCTGTTGGTCGCACTTTCAGTGTTTGAATTTTCGATGATTCAGTACCGGCTACACGACGCCGACGCAGTTCAAAGAATTAGTAATTTCTGATAATTTTCCCCAGTTCACTCAAAATAAACTAAGAAAGCTATATTTACTAGATTAGAAGCAAAGGTGATGTATGAAATTCTTATGCCCGATTCGTTTTCAACTCTCCCCCTAAGGCTCGCAAAATATCTCGTATTAATAATGTAGCACACCATGATTATATAAGACGTTGGTCCATGAACCTAGTCGCTGCCAAAAGACCATATTGACCTGACTGCTGCGGACAACCAAGCCTTCTAATGAGCTAGTATTTAGACTAAACACTGCTCAGCAGGATTCATTTCTCATTCTATCGATCCATGCCATCTATCGTCTATCCCGTTGGTCACAAACCGGTTCTGACTTTTCATTGTGATTATCAGCCGATGAAATTGGATTGAGCTGTTGAAAACCAAGAAGTGATCACTGAGTCAAGATCATTTTTCGCATTTATGACTTTATGAACAAGGTTTTTACATTAGCTTCTCTGGTCTAGTTCTGCAGCGTCTAATTTTGAGCTACCGATCAACTGGACTGTGGGTTAGAGCGATATGTTTCTTCCCTTCATCCGCCGAATTTTGTAAGTTATATAAATAATGCACTCATTTATTCTGTCCGTTGAACGAGGTATATATACAGTATAATGATCGTATGCTGTCCTTTCTGAACAACTTTATTCCTTGTAATTTCAACAACCCCATGCCACCCCGCCCGCTTCCACGCTATCAGTGCGCCAATGAATTCTATCATATGTTCGGTCCGGAGCTGAAAAACATCACGGGCGATAGTAAGACGCTGAGTGAAGTGTTACGTCTGGTTGATCAGCTATTCACGTCGATCAAAAGTCAAGTAAACCACTCTTCTACATAATTGTGTGTGCTTACTTTCCAAGTTGAAACATTGAGTACACTATTTTTAAGATTTTCACACATAAATAGTGTCATTCTGAACACAAAACATGTTGCTAACAACAACAGGCGCTGGAAAACAGTATGAAATTTGATGAAAACATCATCTTCCGTCCTGGGGGCTGTCACTCTACTTGGTCGACTAGTCTAGAGCAGGCAGACGGCTAAGGGACTTCTTCTGGTCTTTTTGCCCGGGGGTTCACATCTGACTTTTGCACAATGAAGAGCAATATTTAAGGTGACCGGGTACGTTTACCCTCTGCAGGGTCGTACGGAAGTCCGTATAGTCTTGGAGCTATATGTTAAATCTGAGAACCAATTAGAGACCAATTACTGTGAAATGAGATCATGATATAACCCAGTTAGTGGTGCAACTCCTAACTTGCACTCTCATTTGTGCGCTTTTTAATTAGAATAATGATAATATTTTTACCTCCTTGTGTATCACACATAAATGATACGACACTTCAAGAAGGGTGTCATGGGTAGTAAGAGGTTGCTGAATGGGGAAGTGGATGGCATTCAAATGTTGTCCAAGTATTTTATGTGAAAAGTTATTCATTCCGATCAAATGTAAGGCTACTAAAACTTTGGATTCAAGCCCATTATGTCCAAACTGGATATGGATTTCTCTTTGGTTACACTAGTTTCTGCAGTGTATCGATTTCCATGCATAATCAACAGTTACCTAATTAAATATTTGCGAGAACAGTATGTGCAGTGTCTTGTTCTCATAGTTGATGGTATTTGAAATTCGCTCCAGTATAGCTGGATCGTAGGTTCGAGTTATTAAATCCATCTTGCGCAGGAGGGGACAACAAGTAAAAAACCGCTGTCACGGACGATGCAAACGCTTTTTTGCCGCTCGTATCGAATGTGCAAAGTCTTTGATGTGGTTTCTTAGGTCAGTTAGTAGAATGCGCGTAGTGTTAAGTCGTAGCCAGTGTCCGTGAATAGGTTTGATTCTCGTTGGGGACGACTATTGTTATCACAATATAATGAATCCAATTTGTTACGCAACTACTCTTCATACTTTTCTAGGATTTACCGTGTCCTTTTTTGCCGAAGAATGAAAAAATTTGGCTCAAAGTGAAGGGTGATTTCGAAGACCATGCATCTATGATCGATGCGAAAGCCAAGAATTTTATCAACGATTATTTCGCTCATATTCGAGGTCCAACATCGGCATTCGACTTATTGGAAAAATTCAAATCAGTTAAAGCGCGGGCCGCAATCACGTGTTTGTTGAAGGACAAATATCGTGATGTTTTGCGAAGTTTTGGCAACGAAGTAAGTTTCGTACATTCAAGAATAAGTATTGATCTTGGAACTACCACAGTAAACATTTTCATCAGTTACCTGTGAATCAAAAAGAATCTTGTGGTTTGGAGAAGAAATTAAAACCGACTTGACAGTACTACAGTATGTGATTAAATGGTTTTTAGACTGAGATGCACACCAATGCAATGTCTCAAAATTAAATGACTGACAAACTGACAAACACCACACCATCTCCCCCCCCCCACACACACACCACCACCACCACCACCTACTGTAAAAGTGTCCTTCAACCCAGCCAACGGCCAATCAAATGCATAACTGTCACCTATATGATGTGCAAGAGCACGATTAGGAATCATTGAAAACAATTGTTCGCTCTCCAGTGTTGTTTTTTTAATGTGACCATGGGACTGTCCAAGCAATTAAATGACTGCTTGGCATCACTTTTATCCTGGTAACGCTAAAGATTTTTCTGACGTAATTTTCAATTTTTATGGCCACTTAAATTAAGGAATTGGTTCAACTATCAAAACAAGATTGCCAGTTAACTTTCAGACACAAAAAATGTGCACAATTATCCGCAACTTATAATTAGCCTACTAACAAGCACGTCAGAATGAACCTCGTGAAAGTACTACCCGACATAGGTCGCTACTGATAAAATGCCTATTAAACGTTTCGATTTTATGCGTCAATTTTGTTTGCCACACATCATTGAGGCATGGACAGTATGATCATCCCACGTGTGGGGGTATGGTCCGAAACGTCGTTCGATAGACAATACGTTAACACCGGCCCCTACCGAGCCCACGAAACCACGATCTACAGGACAGCCGATCGATGGCGAGAATCGATAGACGAGAGACGAATCATACCGGTGACATCTAAGCCCCAAGGCGTGGCCACCCACACCAGTCGGACCAATGCGCTGTGGGTTACGTCTGGGTACGTGATCCGACTACCTATATTGTCCTCGTTTCTTACATATAAAAGGAAACAGTTCGCAGGCGAAACACAGCTCTCACTAGGATTAGTGGGACGGTTCAAAGTACCACGTGGCGTTGGTCTCGGGGATACGCCTCGTTGAAGTCGTGATGGCATAGCTGAAATTTTTGACCTGACTGTTGCAGTTACTATGACGGTGGCTGGTAGTTGGATGTGACCCACTTAGGACTAGCCCATCGGACAATGCCACGCAATTTTTTTAGCGAGAATCCAGAAAAAGTCAAAATCTAGATACTGCTACTGTTCCCAGTAGTATTACTAGAAATTCGAAGCTCCGGGGCTGTACCCATTTCCAAAGAACACTATTCACGGCATTCAGTGCTTATATTCACATGCATTCTTTATGGAATTAAAACTACTGTGTATAGTTATATTCCCAATTTTTCTGTTTCTTTGATTTTCTGATTTCCGACTGAGGTTTTCGCTTATAGATAGCATCCAAGGCCGTCGCACCCAGTGCATGATTATTAGTTGTTCGAACTAAGTTGGACTGTGCTGGTGAACGGAGCACTGTTATCCAACGAATAGCCGTTTTCTGGGGGAAATAACTGATAGAATGCATCCATGATCAATTATGGTGAAGTACACTCACTACTTGTTCGGTGTATTCACTATTCCGAAAAAAGGAGACTTCAATCAATTACTAGGGTTCCCACAATCAGAACAAGACAGGAAACTAAATTAACAACGGTTTCGTTTTGCATGGAATATGCTAATAGCGTGGACACCAATCGTGTGTCCGAAATGTGATCAACCGTCATCAATAGCACTGGTTCGAATTTTAGTGGTTAGATACGAACAGACGCAACCGGTAAGCAGATAAAGGTGAGTATAAAAAGCCGAATGAGCCTTGGAAGTAATCATTTGAGGATACGTGGCTTGTGTCAGAACACAGGTAAGCTTCATGTTCTGACAGATTGCGGCACACAGATTGGTGCTGTCGAAGCAGAGTTTAATCACTTCTGGTCTAACAACACACTAAACGAAACAACAAATTAGATGGATAGGCTATGTTATTTCGGCAGTTGTATTTCGCCGGAGGTTGGATGTCGGATGGAATGCCATCGCGATCACGGTAAAAGCCCCACTCACTTGAGTCGACAAACTCACATCTGCTTTTCCATCAAGGTTAGATTGCACGCTGTGGCAGTTCGATCGGTTCTTCTTCGCGGCTCATAAACGTGTTGGCTAAAACTGGTAGATGCACGAAAATTGTCGGTATTCGATCACTTTCTTCTTTGTAGTACTGCTCAAATCTGGTGGGAATATTGTATCAGCAATGCTGAATTTAGGCACATAATCACGGTTGGGTGAGACAAATCATTGGATCAAGCAGTACAGCTCATCAATCTACGACGCTTCGGGCGTGTGTTGTGCATGTCCCCGGAAAACGTTCCTTGTGTAATACATTTGCTTAGACCAGTAGCGATTGTAAGATTGATAAGGGCGGCAGGACCAAAATATGCACGAGGCATCCGAACCCCAATCTCATTCAGTAGACTTGGCCGTGAAAATCACGTTATTCTACCAGGGTGGTGCGCACTCATTAAATATAACGGAAGACAATGCGGAATGTGAAGACAATTTACGTTTTTTTCCATCCGCCTTAATTAATCACCAGATACTTTCTGAGGTTATCTTCCTACTTTCTCCAGACTTCTCTTTTTTCACTTTTCAGTGGGGATTTTGTTGGGGGATGGCAACCAAAACCATCACACCTGAGACATGGTAAATGGTTGATCGAACTGATGATCCCATCTCAAGGGAGCATGAAATGTTTGTGACCTGAACGTCAAAGTCAACGGTAAACAGCTCATGAAAATATTCTACACTATTTAGTTATGTTGAACAAGTCAGTCAGACGCAGATTCATGGATATCCAATCAGACTATCTCCTTCAGGCATCGTATTTGACAAACCAAAGATTTTTTGACTCTGCTCGTTATGCGATAACATACTGTCAGACTAAACGGCTCTGGAAAATATGTTTGTATAGAATACGACGGACAATCAATTAGTTACGTTGTTAGAGATGTATGTACCAACAGTGAACTTTCCAAGAACTTTGTGAATAAAACCAGCTCCTTATCCACAACATGACTAATTCAGCTACGTAAAATCTCTTATAGCATTTAACAGAGAACCTCAAGTTGAATCCCCAAAACGAATTATTGAGCCGACAATGCGTCCTTTTCTTGTTTAAGTAAATTTAGGAATATCACGTTTCAAATGCAACATATATGTTGATATGAAGAAAACCGCTGAGTCTCTGCCTAGATATCCCAACATCTGACATATGGGAGCTGTTGGAACTGATTGGATCTACAGTGATTTCGATTCTTCAGAAGGATGAAATAAACTGCATAGTTTTTTTCGAAACTATTCACTGGTGACATGAACTTTGATATTACGTGAAAGACCACTTCATACAGCAAGAACTGGTTGGGCAATTTTATGAACTGGGATTAAAAAGGCGCCAAGTTTAACATCTTGTTTCCTATCCTACTCCCACCTCGTAGCTGCTCAAAGTCGAACTGAAATTCAAAGAACTGAGAGACACTCCACTTGTGGCACATTATCTGCCACCGATCGCCGGTTCCATTTCTTGGACTCGACTGATTCTATCCACGGTGAAAGCGAGCATATTACGATTTATCAATTCGCAACCGGATATATTGGATGAGGATGAAGGTAAAGCGGTAAGTTATCTATGCGACAGGTTTTACATGCAGTTTAGTGAAACTGATACAGCACAAACGAGAAGTGAAAATACGATGTTCTGCATGTTGTACATGATATTCTATTTAGGTTCCATCGCTCGAGTTTCGAAATTCTATTTTAGTTACTGGTAACGGTTGTAGTAGTTAGTTGTTGAGGCTTGTCTTGCGTCCTTAAAAAGGCCGTTAGATTGCCGTTTACACGCTTGCGCAGGAATTTTGCAATTGTCGCACTCAGCTTCGATTCACAGTCGATTGATTGCTTTGGAGTCTGTTGATCACACACTTACGTCCACTCGAGCTCGCGTGCACCCTGTCTTCAGTTTTTGGATTTGCGTTGCAATAAAATCGGATTGTACGGTAAGCAACAGTAAATGTCACAACGTAACATCTTCTACTAACTACTTCTTATCAACTGTTGTACTTTCCTCCCTGCATTTTTTGTGTTTACTATTGTTTCATTGGCACCTTGCTGGATTCTAGGCCGGTTAGGTATATATATATATATATATATATATATATATATATATATATATATATATATATATATAATGAAATACAACTGGGCAGTGCTTCCATGGTTTTCAGTGGTGATCTGGGCTTTGTTGCTGTTTGTTAAATACTTTCCTGAACTGATTAAATCTTCTGCTGATAATGGTGGTAAAATGTACTTTGTTAGTACTGCCATGTTAATAGAATATTGGATTGTGCTCATTGACGGTCATAGATTATCGTCTTCAATGATCCTACTGCCATTGTATTTTGGTGAAGTCTCTTTTGAGTTGTTCAACATGCACGACAGATTCTCAACCGTTCGATGAAAGTCCACTAAGTTGTCTAAATATCTTCCGAGTTCTACGGCACCTTTAACTGAGGAGTGTTCGAGGAAGTGCGGAATAATGCCCATGTAATTTACTTGCTAATTTGTAGTCGCAGTAGTTGTTATTACAAACCGCCTATTAATAAGTATTTACGTAGTGAATCTCTGGGCCAACGGTTTGAGCTTAGCATTAGGGAAACATCAAAATAATGCATTTGGGTCTGTGGTCATTAAATGTGCAGTTCAGGCGACACCGTGTGGTACAGCTTTTCGGTCACGTCAAGTGAACAGCCTCAATCTATCAGAAGCAATGTGATCAACAAAAGCCAGTTGTGATTGGTCGATTAACAATTTACCAATCATTACACGCCATCACACATATTCACAAATTAGTTCCGAATAAAAATAGCCTATTTCCACAGCTCTGGTCTTCTCACTCCTTCAGAGTACGTACTTCTGGATAAGAGTCATTTCAATGCACTTTATGAGCCCGAATATTCCGATTCACACAATGCCCTATCGGGACACGACAGATCCCCAGTCAGTGGTAACTCTCCTACCAAAAACCTGGTACATCTATGTGATTCACGAAAGAGAACAACATGAATAGGGTTCATGGCTAAGAATGCGTAATTGGTTTGCAAAAAAGAGTGCTAATGATGGAGGAAGCTGTGTGGAAACATTTATGATTTCAGTTTCTCATTCGCAACATGAGTCATAATCTTGCTTCATAATGATCCAGCAAGCCGGCCGTGATCAAACGGTCATCGTGCACTTTTGACACTTCTGCTTCGGGTTCAGAAGCAGCCTGCACCGGCAGCCGCAGCCTGTCACTTTCCTCAGCTGGCAGCCTCTAATTTACCGCGCCCCGCTTCCTGAAATGTACAATAAGAAGTAAATAAATGAAAGAATAAGAATGTCAGTGAAAAGCTCATAGGTGAATCACCGGATCAATAATAAACCTAACGGCTCCTCTCAATTTGGCTGGATCTTGGTTTTGACAGTTCACTGTCATTTAACCATAACCACCAAAATGTATTTAATTGACAGATGATTGACTGAGCTACCGCATGTTCCATCAGATGTGTTCTGGTTTTTCTCATGCTCACTGTATGGTACTGGTGTTGATTTAAAAATTGTCCGAATGCTAATTTATCTTCCGTGTAAATATCTTTCGTTGGACAACTGTTCCTATGCTTGTCTCTCCGTATCTCACACAATTATCCTTCTCCCCTCTTTTTGGAAATAATTATTGCAGGTCAAGGCACGATATGTCAGTTTAGCTGATGAATTACGCAAATACGAGATTAGCCGTCACAAGTCTTGGGAAACGGAAGTGAATGCAATCGTAAGCCTTCGACTCAGTCAACCGGTGCTCTTCAAACATACAATTCAAATAGCCTTCGATCAGGTCAGTTCGCTGCTTAGTGCGGCTGCTAATGTTGCTGTTTTTATTATTATTATTGTTATTATTGTTATTACTGCTATTACCGTCATTATTTTTCTTGTTGTTATATTCACTATACGAACAAACGTAGTCAAAATAGGTAGTTTTTCGATCCGTGGATAAGCAGGTGTCTGGTCTATAGTATGCGCAAGCTGTACATGCAGTCAGATCGGACCAAGTAGGACCACCCAGCGGGCAACGAATCAACCAGCATTTCTGGTCTACTGCCGAAGTCTGATTTCTTGGATCAAATCGGTCATGAAGTAGGTGATATCAATTTGTTTGACGTACTCGTGTGAAAGCCGTTAGTGGCTGAACCGAAAACGGGACCACCCAATAAAGAATTGTATTCAGCCGGTCAGTCTACGGAGAATTATACTGCGATATGTATATTCGTAGTTTTTATACGCTGTTCACCAAAAAAACGCCCTCCTCCTCCCCTGTATCGCACATGACTTACAATCCCTATGATGACCTTTATCACAGCTGAGCTGAGAACGGTGGTTATGATAGATAAACTAACCGGTTGTCCGTGTGCTTCTTCAAGGCACAGCGTGTGCACTGAGTTGACTGCGCAATTGAGGTAGGTAAACCCAGGGCCGGACCAATAAAATTGAAATGGTCACTTGTACGCAATTCGATGGTTCACTGTGACTAACAGTCAATGAACAATGAGCAAAGTATGAGAAAACAAAATAATGTTTCGGAAGTTCACTCATCGATTTTGAGAACTACCGATACGGACGGACGGGAGAAAATGAAGGTTGGGATGGGTGTAATGGGATATGAGCGTTTATGGGTTCATGCATGCTCATGTGCTCGTTTGCTCGTGTGCTCGTGTGCCCGTGTGCTCGTGTGCTCGTGTGCTCGTGTGCACGAACTATAACACACGCACACACGGACAGCGCGAGTGTGATCAAGATAACAATTTGATGCTTAAACGTGAATGGGTGCGGTGACCTAAGACCAAATAACGCGACTGCATTGCTAACGTGAACGGAGCCGTCAGATGAACGGTAAATACAACAAAAGTGTGTCGTGGTGTGCGATTCGCTAATGTTGGAGGGGTCTTAGAAAACTACTAATATTGGTTTGGACGTGACAGTTAGAGAAAGATACACTGTCCCCCTTGGAGCAGCAGAAAGAATGCATGGTACTACGCCAGTATAACGTTATTCGAATTTGTGCTTCCTGGTCGTGTCATATGCAAACACCACGATAACCACCGTTGGCTGTGATTACCACTTAATGAACTCCGTGACTGAAGGTTGAGAAACACAAGAACAATGGTAGTCTGAGGGGAATTTATCAGTTCTCAGAATTACCGCTTCGGACTGGCGTGAGAAAATGATAGCTCCGGTGGAAGAAATTGAGATAGCAGTGATGTCCAATCCTACTGATCGACTACAGACCGATACACGGGGGTATGTCATGACTGCTATGACGTAATTCCGCCGTTATGGCGAATACATAGGTGCACCCTGCGTTGACCGTTTGTGTAGCTCTAAATTAGTGAATAGGCGGAGATGAAATAGCCGCCGGTCTGTTTTCACACTTGGCAGCCTTCCTGGAATATTGCACCAGCATTATAAAACCAAAGGAAGTAAATAAAATAAGACAAAAAGATAAAGGTAATGTTCCGTACCATCCCATTAGCTATAGCGAGAAGTCTATCCCACCCACGAATCATATCATTTTATTAGTACAAAACACGCCGTTTATATAGGAAAAAACTGTCACCGACACTAATCGTTCCAACGCAAACCAACCTGTTCAAGTAGCCTGTCCTCTGATTGGTTGATTGGTCACACGACCAGCTGCCATATGACGGGAATCCGTTCACGTTCCATCGATTCGCTATCGTGTCACCTGAACATCCGCTGACACAAGCACTGACCTGGATTCTGGACAGGCGCTGACATGCCGATTGCTGACGGAACATGGCTGGCTATCGACCATGAATCAGCACAAACCCTCACAGGTAATACCTCAGATAATCAAAACAGATAACAAACTGTGGTCCAATTGTCTCACACCAGATCTGTGGCCGCGCTTTCCAGTCATTTCACTGTTAAAGCAGCTTTGTCTCCAGATGATCTAGCGGTGTATAGGCAGAAATACCAATCTATTGAGGTGAATAGGTGTAGGTAGAAGCTTGTTCGTCAATGTCTTTCAACTCCTGATAAGTGCCCTTATTATCAAACGTATTCCGTGTTTCTATATCCCGTACTGTTACCGAAATGGTCGAATTAAAGAAACAAAATGACGTCATCATTCGTAAATGCAGGCGACTAAGCGGTTCACTAGAATTACCAGCTTTCAACAGCAACAGATTACCGCTTTTCAATTTCCTCAAGTTACATCAAACTGTGGTGTTATTCCAAGATCGGTCGGGCAAGACAAAGTGATCCTCTGTTAGGAAAGTATTTAATTTAGGGCGGGCATATAACTTCAATGAACCTTTGCAAAATGAAAAAAATCTTCCACTAGAATGCCCGCAAATATGATGGAGGAACAGTGAAGCCAAATAAGGCTTGCCGACTTGTCCAAGATTTTCCAAAGTCACCTGATATGCTCTACCAAAACGATCTGATAACTGCTCAATTGTGAGGTCACAAACTATGACCCAAGTTACATTATGCACGCAAATGATCATGCACATAATAATTGCAATTACTATGTTTTCCGCCAGAACAAACTGAAGTGACATCCACCCGCCTCTATCTGATGTTTTGTTCCGTCCCACTCCATTCTGTCTCAGAATCATTTTAGTTTATTAGCACAACACAAAGAATATATAGGTTACTCCCGCATTCACCCACTCGTTCCACACAATGCATTGGTCTGACTGGAATGGGCGACCACACCTTAAGGCTTGAATGATGCTGGCAGGATTCGTCTCGTGTATCAATTCACGCCATTGATCGGCCGTCCTGTCAGTCGTGATTTCGTGGGCTCGGTGAGGGCTGGTACGGACACACTGTCTGCCAGTGTGATTAAATCGTCCATCGAACGATGTCAGACCATACCCTCACATCTGACAGCCCGACAAAGTCTTTTGAATAGAATTATTCCAATCACGAGATAAAACACTATAGAGATTTAACCCGTATTCGGATTGGTGGTTGGTTTGGCAAATTAAAACCACATGTCAGAGACTGTATTACACGCCATTGAGTAATCAGTCCGTAGCGTGGAAGGGAAGCATTGAAAAAACCAAACCAGTACACTTGGCCATTTAGAACGTATGGGTTTTCCACGGTGGATTACACAATCACGAAATCCATCCCATCAGTGGTCATATGCAGGAAAATATGACTATGTGACATGAGAAGTGACACCTGTAGTTGCACAAATTGACAGCCAAAATGATACTGTTATTCATAGTGTTCCACCTAATCTTCAATCCTGATGATTGCTTTGATATTTAAGTTAGGCTGTTGCTGACATGTAGGAATCAGTGAACCACCGCAGTCAATGAATTGCTACTGGTTGTTACAAGAGAATAAGGTCCACTAAATGCTCACAAATTCAGGAGACCAATGTGAATATACACGACCGGGCCGAGAACAGGTTAGCGAAAAATACTGTCGAGCGAATATTACTTAAGCTGTTATTTTACTCGGATTTTCCATACAAGGGCTTCGAAATTGAACAACACGACCAGTTTATTACCAATAGGTTTGTTGATATATCACCAAAAGCGCCGTAGGAGTACGTCGGTAGCTTTGCGCGATCGTTCCGCGCTAAAGTGGACCATTTTTGGCATTTTAACTAGCAAAACTCGGTATTGGTCATCATCATCTCAAGCGAACAATACAGAGCGTTTTTTCACCGGTTGTCAAAACCCAACTACTTCTGTCATTTTCAGTAGCATGTATAGGAATTCAATCCTTCCGGGGTGGGTCCACTTCCATGGAACACTACAATGCTCCCGGGGGCAGGGGCGGTTTTTGTGGGGGAACAGTGTAGTTGCTTTCGGCATCTTGATTTACCGCACTTAGCACTTTTAGGTAGCAGAAGATTGTAATTATTCCCGAAATGACTCAGCATCTAGCACCAGTATTCAAACCACGGACGAATTTCACGGTTCTCCTAGTTGTCATTCCAAGCTACCCATCTGAAGCCGTCTTTCCCAGCAACAACCGACGATTACTCAATTGCGCAGAAGTGTTGACCGTTCGCAATCCAACCCCCAGTTTGTGCAAACAAAGTGAATGGTTTATCTCTTTACTTCTATCTTGGTAAAAACCACTTCAATTATTCTCTCTATGTCCTCTTTATGGTTAGAAACTATCCGCATTTTCCCCCCTTAATGTTCGTTTCACTTGACTATTTAAACGGTTACTGTGACACCAGTATGCACTCTTTGAAGATGTAACGAAATGGTTCTGGGTACATTGTGAGAACCAATGTTTACTTGGGTTGGAAATCACCAGCTGCAGTGCATATCCATTGTCACACTTCGGACTCAGTTACGGGATGAAGGATATCGAGTTACACGTGAAATTTCGATACACGGTAAAGCAGCGTCGCCGAAAAATGTTGTTAGGCCATAGAAGTTTCAGTCGCGACGCGTAACCTTTCTCTAGACAAAACAGTGAGTCACACTCATTGACAGTTAGGATTTTGCCGTGATTGACTCACATCTTGCTTCACACAACGCGGCACATGTCACGTGACCACCAAACGCAATCATTGCTGTAACCAATTCACACGAATAACATCGCCATTTACACGAATACACACATGCGCACTCATAAGGACGAAACACGAGCAAGCTCCAGCAATAGCCAGTCTAAGCACGAACAACGCGCACTTCAGCTTATCCAACGCTACTTCTGAATCGTTGAATGAATCCACTGGGACCGCCAAAAATGCGATCGCCGCTCGTAAAACCAATAATCCAATTGCAGCCAAGTCCCACGAAAGAAGTCAAACAGTCGGAGTCGTAATAATTATGCGGTGCTTATAAAACCAATCAGAAATAAACACATGAGCACAAACTTCGAAGGTGAGCTCAAACGATAACAACGTCCGAAACCGAGTTAAACACACTATTAAAAGGGAGTCAAATATAGCGTGTTTTGTTTAGTGTCAATTATAGCACACTGTGGCCAGTCGTGAAAGGGTAAAGAGATAGATTGTGCTATGGCAAGCAACTTCAAATGTTCAGCGGACTCCGTGACATACTGAAACAAGTAATCTCACACACAGGCTTGAAAACGAACGTGATGCCAAAGCAACAACAACGAGAAAAAACACAAAGAAAGGGGAAGGGAGGGAGTGTAGGAGGCAATATAAATATTCCAACGAGTAAAAGCATTCTTTAAATTTTCACCATAAACGTTCTGTAGATATTTTGTCTCTTTCAAGTTTTTATGGGGACTACGAAGTCAGCAGACAGGCCATACAGCATTCGCACCACTGAACTCGGTTCCGAGCCATTTCTCGCAGCATCTCCAACCCACGACAATCCTCATCTCTTAGGTCCCAAACAGGAAGGCAGCAAGCACCAACCGAAGCCAGTGCTGAAGCTAACTTCTTCACACCCCTACGCCAAGTCATAGACTGAACGCCGCGTCACTTCTTCCAAACTTGACCAGCACGTGCAAAAACAGCACGAAAGGGTAGACGATGGACAGACAAACACAAAACATGCCCCAGCCATCGGAGGCCGTATAGAGCGATTACCTTGGTCAGAGGGTGACTATCAGCACCAAACAAACGACGACGAACCTCGTCATTGCTCACCCGATGTTCCCATCAGAACCGAACAAACCTTCGAAGACACCGGTGGTCCAACACAGAAAGTCGCCCAGCATCCTCAACGCGGAAGGATCAGGTCTTACAACCGTAAAGAAGGACTCTACGAACTGTGGCACTATATACCATTCTCTAGAGGGGAGGCCGAATTTTACTGCGGCGCCACAGATGGCGCAGGTTAGCGAAAGCTGCTATCGCTCTCGCAATTCATGAAGGGGTCACCTCCTCAACACCAACACCAACTGTGATCAAGCTCCCTAGGTACTTAAAGCTATTGTCTACCTTTAACTGATCATCACTTAGGGTTGGCGCAGGCACAGGCTCCTGCCAGTCTTGAACAAGTACCTTGCATTCTGAAGGCCCAAAGCAAATACCATATCGGGGCAGCTCAATCACCAAGCATTTCAATGTGTGTGATTGCCTGTGCACTGTCACTCAGCAAGGCCATATCATCGACCTACTCTACGTCAATATCTCTGTTCCCTGGGAGGAGTTCAACCCCACCGTTCGGAAGACCAGACAAAGCGCTCAGTAGGACATCCCGTATAGCGAAGTTGAAAAGAAACGGGAATATTGGGCAGCCTTGTCGTACTCCACTGGAGACACCAAAGAGTAGCGAGAGCTGGCCATAAGCCATAATCCCTAACCCGACCTGAGATATGACGATACAACTCTTCGAAGGTCGACAAGTACTTCTCAGGTACACCACTCCACAACAAACAGTGCTATAGTACAGGCCTATCGACGAAGTCGAAGGCAGTGCAAATATCCGTAAACACGAAGGTCGTTGTCCTTTGGAAGGTGTGACAGTGCTCTAACAGCTATCGGATGGTGAAGATTTGTAGTGATTCGACTGTCTCCACACGCAATCCAGTGCTCTATAGCTTCATTTCCAATATCCAACCAATCGAGTAAAGCCGGATAGTAAATGCTAGATCCTTTAGATACTGCGAAGTCGCCTTGTGATTGATCAGGACGTTATCTGCCAATGAATACATGCATATTTCTGTATATAAATGAGTGTGCACCCACCAAAAGTAACACCCGTGTTGTACAATCTGCGAAGAATGACAGACACTAACAGCTGAGACGCCATCGGGATTAGGCTTATTCTTTTATGGTTGACGCAGTCACCGCACGAGCCCTTCTAGAAGACGGGGACAACGATCGATTCCCTTCCACAGGGAGGGAACTTTCTCAGATTCAAACCTTGGAGAACGAAACTTAAAGTTCTCTAACCATCTGCATTCCAACATTTTTAAGTACGGCTGAGGAAAGGCCATCGAAGCCCGGCAATCTATGATGTCCTAAGGCCTGGATTTTTTTGCGGAAGATATATCATAGACTCAGATAAAATGCATCGGGTATTTTATTGCACCAAACTTGATGTTCGTTCTATGTGTTATATGAGTTTTCACGCGACGTTGGATTTTGTAGTTCCTGGGATCCGACAGTGTTCCGGGATTAGGATTGATATGTTCGTTGACTAATGTACTTTGTTTGTGCCTAATTAATAGCGCTGTTCGCAGTACTAAACGGCTTCCATTGACTGAGAGATATGTTTGTCCATTTACAATATATAGAAAGTTCACGCGATTGTACCACCGCCTACCTGGTGGGCCGGAGCAAAAGGAGACACCGGAACTGTGCTGAATCCGCCCACACCACCGCAAGCACAAATGATTCGCCAGTTTTTCACGGATCCGACCAATACACCTGGAACAGTTACACGCTCCTCGTCCATTCACTTGCAACGAAACCACGGTTCGGCCGTGTCATGGACGAGTCAAGGAGAACGGACCTCCTTTGCCACAAACCCCGTTATGCAAGAAGGTAATTAATTGCATTTTTCACTTGGATTCTTTGTATGACTAATTAAGGTAAGTTAAGACTATAATGGTGGCTGCGCATCACTGAATATTCACTTGATCTGCGCTCGATTGGTGACAGTTCAGCACGCAGAGAAACTGCTCCGTAAGCGGAAGATTGTTGGTTCGATTCCGGCTCTCACTATGGATTTTTAGGTGCAAAAAGTGCGCGGTTATTTTTCTTCATCTGCGAAATAATAAGTTTGCAGATTTTAAGTTATTGTTTTCCGCTAGCTATTTTGAATGATTAGCAATAGGTTTTATTTATTCCTTTGGATTTTCGTGTCAATGAGAATTTTGGCCAGTAATAACCCCAACATATCCGTGTTGTTCAAAAGGAATGTCTAAGTAAACATAAAATGAGGTGTCACGTGAATCCGGGGCTGCTGACGGATTTTCATGTGATCCCTCAAGTAAGCTGAAGAGCACGGGTTCTCCAGGCTTATAATCGAGAACAAACTCGTTTTCTGTTACTCATCCGCATACCACAATATATTACAAGGGATTGGACCAACTAGACAAAGGTTGGAAATGATAGAAATTAATTAAAAAGGAAAGAAATCAATCGCATAGCTGAGGACGGGATGTGGATTGTTTCTCATGTGTTGTCAATTTTCATCTGGTCTTTTGCCTGCTTAGAGTAGAGGATGAGCCGAGGGTGCGTTGTAGCACACACAAATTGGTTTTGAACACACAAGGGGTGGGGTTGTGTAGGCGGATGCGGGCAGCCTCAGTCGTGGCCAGGATGAGACATTTTGCTAGTCTTGGTTGTCCGCTCCGGACCTTGTGCATGGCACAGAAAACCTCGGACACGTTTACGGTGTGATTAGACGGAGCTGTGTGTGAAATTAGCATACTAGTGATCGACTTGATTGTCCCAGTATTCAACCATAACAGTATTCCCCTGAGACATCAATGACGAATCGTGACACTGACAGTCTATCAGGTAGCATAGACACGTGCAACACTTTGTGGTGCATTCACTTTTTTGGGCAGTTTAAGGATTGTATGGAATTATCCTTGATCACTGTTTGTCAACTAGATTTCGGCCTGAAACTGGTGCACCGGCTGAACGATAAATGACCGATGAGACTGATATCAAACTGGGTTTTAATATTTGCCCACCCCCGACTCCATGCTGTTGAAAACCGTGGAGAAATGGAAATTTCACATGTTTAAAAACGAGCCGTCTACCTTAGTTCCCACACACAACTGGAAGCACACTGTTCTCACGAAGTGCCAAGACGGAATATTGTTATAACATTTGGTAATCGGATGATAATTAGCCCCCTTTTCAACTTTGTTTTTATCTAACAGGTTGTCTTCCCGTCTATGAGGTCAATTTTGATTCCAAATTGTGGGGTGTGATTCAGGAGGCTGCACGAATCGAACTGTTCAATTTGCCGCTGCCGGAAATTGCCCGATTCATTGGTTTAAGAGTGAGTCGCAAGTATCATCACTCCCTTCAGTACTACACTGGTAATTCCGTGTTGGCAAGCCATAACTCCCACATCTCTGGTGAAGCCGCTGCAACATCAAGTGAATACTACGTAATTTCAAGTGATGCCCCAATCGCGTCGTTTTCCAAACATGGACATGTGATTGGCTTGGCAGTGTTAACTCTTCAAATGCACACCAAATCTCTCGACCCCGTGATCATCCACATCGCGATGATAACTGTTGACCTGAATTCTCGCTGGCAAGTACAACAGTATGCGCGAGAGCCTACGGGGTGGGGAAAGGTGTGGCTTCTAAGTGTACCGCATGATTCAAGGGCAAAGAACCAGGGACGATTTGAGAAGGCCAACGAAGCGACGGCATTGGTCGACCCTGAGCCGACACTGAGCCTATCCATGCACGTGGCTATGCTGCGTGAAATGTCCAGTTCATCTTAACGAAGATGAGTGTGACAAGGGGACGCACATTTCATACGCACCATACCGGGTGACATGTCTTCAACGTGTAAGAAGCTGGGGATGACTGGTAAAATGAACTGGACATTTCACGAGTGACTGAACTCCATACAGAACTCAGCACAGCCACGTGCATGGATTGGCCCAGTTTTGTTAAGCTACACACACACACTCAGGGTCGACCAATGCCGTCGCTTCGTTGGCCTTCTCAAATCGTCCCTGGTTCTTTGCCCTTGAATCATGCGGTGCACTTAGAAGCCACACCTCTCCCCACCCCGTAGGCTCTCGCGCATACTGTTGTACTTGCCAGCGAGAATTCAGGTCAACAGTTATCATCGCGATGTGGATGATCACGGAGTCAAGAGATTTAGTGTGCATTTGAAGAGTTAACACTGCCAAGCCAATCACATGTCTGTGTTTGGAGGGTGACGCGATTGGGGCTTCACTTGAAGTTACGTAGTCTTTACTTGATGCTGCAGCGGCTTCACTTAAGGTGTAAGAGGTAAGGAGTAGGGCATCAATCCTTTCGGCGGTTATCAACTCACTCTTCCGGGTCTGTACGATACAGTTCATATCTGGTGAACCAGGGATTTTTCCGCCTAGTTACATGTGTTGCGAGAAATGATGGTATTCCAGGGAAGTTTCACGCAATTTGTACGGAAAAATGTGTCTGAACCACCAACACTCTATTTACTTAGCTAGAAAGACCACGACTTACAATCTACTTGGAGTGTCTAGAATAAATCATAATTCACATGCACGTTTCACAGGTTTCCACCACGTCTCCCAAACAGGATGCCTAAAAGGATGTTGTCTTGTAAACCTATACTTCAGTTACGCAGATAGCCCCATCCCAATGAATCAGTGTTTGTGATCAGATGAAAAGAGGACCGCTTTGTGTTGCTGACTTCTGACGCCTAATTCTCACCATCTGTCATGGCCTATCAGTTGCTGCAACTTACCTAAGGCAAACTCTGCTGAACGATCTGAGGTCGATTGGCACTTCCCAGGTCCGTGCAAGGCTCTACGGCTGTTTCAGAGGTTTTTGCAAGCCAGCTTAAGGATACGGGGTTTTGGGGTCTATAACCGCTCCGTCTGTCGCGCGGCTCTTATTGTCGCGTAAGACAATGCGGTGACTGGTTTGGTGCTGTTATAACGGTTAGTCCTCGCCTGATCACCCAGTCAGAGAGGGAAAACAAGCCTCTTGACTAGAACAGTGTACTGATATTTCTTCGCAGAGCGGTTTTACAAGGCAAGGCGATGAACGTACAAATCGATAAAAACACATGATTGGATGACGCATGCGAACGTGACACAGGCTGGCCAGTCACGTTCGAACGGATGAGCGCGGACGGACGTCAGCTGCGGCGTGAATCGGTTTGGTTTGCGGTTCCACTACAGGTGCAGTGTTTGAAATGAATATTATCAATTTATTTCAACTTCTCGCAGTTTCGCACCGTCCGTCTGATTTGGTAACGATTTGAAAAGGCTCGTGTATGATTGATACTTGAAAGACGTAGTGAGATTCATTTTGCGGATTTTGATCTGTGTGGAATTTGACCGAGGCCGATCCATCTCAGCAGTGTGTTATGCGCCGAGTTACGAGCATACCTTCAGTTCTCCTTTTGTTTTTCAGAATTCCTACTATCAGAACATGGTCTTACAGCTTCAGAGAATGGTGGATAGATATGAAGAGATCAGAAGCCAGTTAGATCCCCTGAAGGTAAGCCTAATTCAACCCGTGATCCCATACGTAAACAATATTCTCTCTCTGTCTAAATCACCACATTATATCCCTTGTATTCACAGGTTAGTCTGATGGAGGCGGGTCTACGAACCCTGGTAAACACGATTGATCGAGGTGTGTTCTACCTGAATTGGGACAGTCTTGTTGTGGATGAATATCTGGAACACTGTGATCGAGTAAGCCTCTGTTGTATTCGGTTAAATCAGTTACGTGTACAAACAGACACAGATTGGTATTCACATATATGCTCCGCGGACAATCGTTACATATCCCTGGGCACACACACGTCTTCAATGTCTGTCATGCTCCATCCGAGACCGTGTTGATCGATAATAGCTTCTCAACTATCGAACGGATTTTCTTGGCTTGACCGCACTGCACGCTTCATTTGCTTGCTAATTTGCTTGCTCACCAAGCTACTGACTAGTTTTTTTTACGTGCTAACAAATAAACGTTAATGTTTCTACTACGATTTATAAACAGAACTGTCTGGACACTACGGTCTTCGAAAAGGACGGGCAATCATGTTCACTACTCAATGGTCGAATTCCGTTGATTTTGGACAAACGAGATACGTTGTTGATTTTGGCTTGACTAGGATGCACTCGGATCCATTAGGCGCACCTTGCCACAACTTACTATCAGCGGTCTGGTAGCCATATTTACAATTCCTCGAATTTGCCATTGCCAGTGGTTTTGTTGAAACAACACAGAATCAGTGAGCTGAATTTGAAGGATAACTCCCTGAATTTCAGGATGAGGAAGATTCTAGACAACTAGCTACTTATCTTCGTAGAAAGCATACCACACCATTTTCTGAAGCCCTTAGTTCTGTTAAACTTATTTTGGCTATTTTGTCCACCCAAAGGGGAAAATGGAGACCAACAATAACAGCTTGTGGGCTTCCTGTACAAAATGCCAGCTTTCGGGGCAAAACTCATGTAATAGTTAACTTTGTAAGATATCCTCTTGATTTGTAAACCCTTGATACTCCCTGATAAATGTAAACAAGTTATCGGTGGTGAAGCTCCAAAAGTGTCAATGTTCAGCAAGCAATCTCAGCCAAACCAGTTTGGTGACCTATCCGTGGAGAACACTAACTAGAACGGCGCCCAAAGTCGTGAAGGGCTTTTAGTCGAAAACAGAGCCAGATCAAACTGGGAAAACGCGTTTCAGTCTGATTTCGAAGATACCAGTTAGTCGAATGCTCAGACTAATGATAAAACACCCGTGTAGTTTAGAACAGCTGTGGATGACTATCCGTGTAAATCATGAGATGAATAACAAAAAAGTGAAGTCATAAGTGAGGCAGTTGATCTGTCCGCGAATGGCCACATTTCGTGGTGATCATTTTACCAGATCCAGCGGCCTTCGGCTAAAATTAACATTTGAAGAATTGCGTTCAGCATGAGAAGTGAAGTATATGACAATAAGTCAGAGGTTTGCATTGACCAGGACAAATACTATTTCATGACGTTCTGATTGTTCAGCTTGGCGTTTAGATCGCAAACGTTTCATCCCCAATCGAGGTGAAGTCGTCAGTGCATGCGTGCTGTTGGTAGTTATCTCCTATGTTTATAGGTTTGTCATTAGTCCCGATCTTGAGCCTCGTAGACGACCTTGTGCCCAAAGGTCGACGTTTGTTTTTCGGCTTCGCCTCTACTAACATGACTTTTGACCTTTGAAGGCTGACGTCCCGTTTGGGGAGGTTGAACTCTTTCGCTTTGTGCTGTTGTTTCCATTTTTGATATTTGCATTTTCGATAATTCAGTTCCGAAGATGTATGAGTGGAACATGTTAAGGACTTTGATTTGCCCAAGCTCGCTTTTAGTGTCCTCGGGCAAACCTGGTGACTAGAGTGCATGTTCCAGTTTAGCAAGGTATTCCCTCGTTGTGGTGTTTCCCAGGTTGAAGTTGAGTCCTTTTTTGAGTACGTTGTGCTCTTCAGTTGACAGTGGCCGAGATGACAAATTATTGGCCCATGTCCCGTTTTTGGTTTCGTCGGGGCCCCTCGTGAGCCTCTCTAGCTTATTAGCTAATAATGATCGTCTCCTCTTCTGGCAGTTGCTTACTCGTCGTCCAATGGCAGCCTAAATTTCTCGAATAGTTTGATTATCGACTATTCGTTCACACAAGCATTCAACCTCTGTCATCACCAGTCGAGGTGACACCGTGAGCGCATGTCACCTCGACGAGTGACGAAACGTTTGAGATCTAAACGGCAAGCTCAACGTCTAGAACATCATGGCAACCAACAACCTGAGCTACAACCAACACAAATATTTAAAATCATTATGAAATACTATTTCAGTCATTGCTTTTACTGGTGTTGGTTTATTGAATTGCGTAAGGAAATCACGTTTCTTTGGGCAGTAATGTAGAACTCTAGTTGAGGATAATTTGCGTTTGGGTGCAGTAGGAAAAGCCCTTGGCTATTGGATTTGTTTCAACAATCTCCACCCCCCCCCCTTCCCCATGATACTGGTAGCAATGATCTCCGACTCATCCAGCAGCTAATCAACTGTACTACTGTCACCTACATGACCTGCAAAAGCAAAACTGCATTATCCCCATTGTTGTGGCAGTAGTGGAACGGTCGTTATGAAAAACCTCAAATCTAAAGGTCCTGGTTTCAACCTCGCTCACTGTTGGTCGCTTTCCTCTCGGTAGCCTCTGATTGACCACGATCCTCTTCCTGAATAACTGTACTGGTAATTTCTAACGAATAAAAATGAAGTAAAACGACGTTGCGACTAATACTAGTCATCTATCCTTATCATGCCTACCGATTGTTTATTTATTTATTTCTACCAACTTAACTGCAATACCTATAAAAGGTGCCATTTTTAACCAGTGATGAAGCACCAAAAAGAAGCCTGTTTTCTACCTCGTTTTCGTTATTATTGTTATTCAAAAGTATTTTACTTGTTGTATTCGTTTCAAACAGTCTTGCGCACAACGCGGACAACTGATCAAAACCACTCTCATACGTGGAAATACGCCTGTTGATATTTAATCAAGCTTCAGTCCGGGCGCTGTTTGTTGACTAACCGATCTCATTACGTATCTGTTGACCTTACTCAACCTATGGCGAATGTACGCTAGTGCATGCATCTAACTCAAATCAATGAATTTATGTAGAAATCGTATCTAACCGGCCAATCGTACGTAATGAAATAACCTGGACTCGGACTACGCGCACTGGAAGAACGACAAGACCAGACAAAAACAGCGAGAATGTATTCTGTTACATTTGGTTGGTGCTCACTCATTTATATACAGAAATATGCATGATTCATTGGCAGATAACGTCCTGATCAATCACAAGGCGACTTCGCATTATCTAAACGATCTAGCATTTACTATCCGGCTTTACTCGATTGGTTGAATATTGGAAATGAAGCTATAGAGCACTGGATTGCGTGTGGAGACAGTTGAATCACTACAAATTATCTGGGAAATTTCCCACTTAGTTGCTAATTACATACTGGCTACTGCCGGGTTTTGTGTTTACGGTCATAAACATTAATGGAATGAAATTATTGCGTCTTCTACCACTAACTACGAACAAAGCAGTGATGATACGAGTATTCAGTTTGTCCAGAAATTGCTGGTTTTAATTAGTTCTTACTTCTATTCCCGTCACTAAAAGTTCCATTTTATGCTTATTTGTTTATTCATGGTAATGAATTTTTCCACCATTATAGCGACTGAAACGCGCTGAGAATCACATTAAGGAAATCGATCGGTGTTTCGATATTCTCGAACGTATTGGCGCCTTGATCTCACGTGCACAAATGTTCAAGGAAAGAGAGGATGGACAACTGGTTTCGGCCAAAGTGAGTTTGAGAATCATCGCATATAAAGCTGCGAACTGACTAGCTTTAGAAGAAAGCGTTCCACACATTTTTCAGTTGTCTGAGATTCCAGAAAACACCCATCGCATCAAGAGAACATAAGCTCGGTGGCTAATAGCTGTTTTCAGTGATTCATTTTCTGGTCTCTCCGGATCATACGAGCTGTAAGAACGACATTCAAAAGCACTATTGTGTACTTTCCGGAGTTCCCCAGTGATCTGATTTTATTATTATTACTATTACTAACATTAATAGTAGTAATGTTATCATTACATGCCTCTATTCTTTTTTCCCTTTACTTGACGATGCTGGAAGGTAGCAATCGAAACCCGAGCACAGGAGTGCGAGGTTAGTGGTTGAACAAACTGAACTGCACTGTGCTGCTAAAACTGGCCAATCCTGTGATAATCTATTCTTTGAGGTCAGTCTGTAACACGACCAATATTGACCGCACGGCAAGGCAGTGATCACAAAAGTTTATTGAACATTGCCTGCGTTGGCTCCGTACACGGAGTAACTTGAACCGTAGGAAGTGCCATTCTCGAGCCGCTGGTGGACACCCACCACAAAGTAAATATAATTGGCGTTTCCAGTTTTTAATGTATGCAGTAGGAGATTTGATCAGTATATTACGTGGTTTACCGCGCAGTATCGACGCTCTAACTGTGCATCGAGTGCGTCATATTCCCCGCAAACAGGTTCATCCACGCCCATGGGCATCGCAGAAGCGATCAGAATCTGTATATTCGCATCTGAGCCATGCACGCACAAAAATTCGTTCTAGTCATCCAAGAACACTAGCCGCAAGCAGACCACTTTCATTCCCAGTTACTCAGACCCGAACAACGTGATCTCGACTACTTAGTTGTGTACACGGATGTACCGATATTAAGCCACTGTTCGTTTCACCACGTTCTGAGCTGGCCCACTAGTCCTACGGAGAAGACCTCCCTGCTTCCGAAGCATTTCGATTTATTAGTGCAGGAAAATATTTATATTAGGATACCGTTGCACGTAACTGATTGTTGCACACAGGTAATTGGTTCGACTGGTTTTGGGGACTACATCTTATAGTCAGTTGCAATGCGGCCAACCGCTTCAAAGGTCTCTTTTCTCAACTTGCCGATTCACGTAGTCAATCCGTTGTCCGGTCTTTCACATCTGATGCTGATCAGTCCAACCGGGCCTGAAAGCCGTGGGCTATCTGGGAACCACCAAGTCGTTAACTTAATCTATCGGGCACACGCGGTCTAAAAGAACGTAAGGATCGATGTGCGAGTCCTGTGAACATTTGTCTAATTTGCAAACGTTGTGTATCCACCACGTTTCCAATTTCACCTGAATACATGCATCATGGTTCACAGGAATCACATTGAAATATAAGTCGTCGAAGTAAAATGCAAAACTTTCGGTGTTGAAGTCTCCAACTACTCACATGACTCACAGATGAACTTTGAGCCAAGTAACTGGACCCATCAAACACTGGAACGGGTGATCTCGTGCGGTGTGAGTGTACGCCGTAGGAATGCAAGACGGACACTATTAGGTAATCGCCGGAAAGCATTACCGTTTGATCAAATACTAATAACCGACAGGAAGGTGAATTGAAAATATTAATCTGAGGACAATTCTACTTTGTACACGCTGCGGCTCTCAGTGAAATACAAACCGTCAAATGTTTGTCTCTTAATAACGTGATAAACTGCAAATTTATTAAAATTTTCGAGAACAAATTCAATAAGCAAAAGCTTTCTCAAAAATTGATAGGAATATATGGATTATGCTGAATCGTGTCGAGAAAATGACATGGAAGAATTGGCCAATCAAATCAGTACAATGGCGACCAGCTGTCTGGGTAAACTTGAAGAAGCTCTGTTCGATACGAATACAGGTCGTCGAACTGAGATGTATCCGATCTATCAAAGATTTGAAGTCATGATCCTATTTCGACTTCTCGAGGTAAGACAACGGTCCTATTTATTTATTTATTTTTTCTCTTGAGAATTCTACACCAATTGCATAATTTTATTGGTGAATTGGTGGATAGTGAGTGAGTTTCGTGCCTGAATAGATGAAAATGAAATCAGCGCATACATATAGATGAAATAATTTATTTTGACAACAACCAAAAATCGTGCATCCCAAAAATTCCTCAAACGTTTCAATCTGTGTTAAATTGTGCCCGTCAGAGAGAGCAAACGCATCTGATGCAATAAGATAAATCCGCGCATTTTCATGAATTAACCTTTCGTGAATTAGTTTTCACCTACAGCCTAAGCCACTGCGGAACATCGCATGTACTGAAGTTGCTCGACTCCCTAACAGTAAGCAGCCAGAACTGAGAAGGCCGAAGCTGTGAAATATGATGTGTCATTGTTAGTTTTATTTGCAATGCACTCGCTCGTACACGAAGCAGTATGCGACACCATTGGTGGCCAATCACGATGCGCTCCTGTTGTAATAAGATGAGTGGTAGGAGACTTTCGGATGTCACACGTACACGTTCAGCTGATACGCTTTAAGCTATCTCCTAACTAGAACGACATTCAACCAGAAATTACGTGTAAACTGGCCTTGTTTCTCATTTATTGCTCCCTAATCCGATGTCCGTTGACCTTGCCCATTATTCATTATTATTACACACAGAAAGATACCTAAGAAAATACTCCTTAACTTCTTTTTTACTTATCATACAACAAAATTAAAAAAATTCAACAAGAAGGCCGCGGCCAGTGACAGGCCGTCAAATGAGAATGTAACCGGTGGTGGCGGGAATCGAATCAATCATTTTAATCCAAAGTCTACGATGATAACCGCCTAACCACCGTCGGCAGCTGATCATGGTCAGAAGGCAGGTTTTTCACCCGCCGTGCGGTCGATCTTCTTGTTGCTTTTGTGTACGCTCGTTTACGGACACAACAGTGACTTAAAGTGATAATCAAACGATTCATCATGCAGTATCAATGCTAGCTGATTGAGTCGCATTCCCGTTGATAAGCACGAAGCTATAGCACGCTGCTTTTTCTAGTAGAATGCTCTAAAATAACATTGAAGGTAACGGAAAGTCTTTCTAATTGAAGTAAAAAAATAGACATTATGAAGAGAGGGAGATGCAAGAATGTGTACCGGTAAAGCGTGCTCCAGTTGCTCATCGTCTTATTGGAGTATCGTCAAAGTTCAACACTGCTTCAGCCTTTAGCTGTTCAGTGCTCATCGAAGAGGACCATGTCTGTGGGAAATTAGGGAACAGTGGAGTGTTTATTTTTTGCATAATATTCATCATCCGACATTCCGAGGGCTGAAATGCAGGCAGTGATAATCAGGTCCGCCTTTTCGAAGTATTTTCACGGATCAACCTGTAGATTTGTTGTATCATTTGTTTCATCAATACCATATACTAACTCAGAGCTTCTGCGAATCCGTAACAAGGCGTTAGAGACGCGCTTTGTCTTGGATCCAGTCTTGTGATTAATGGTTCGAAATGTTATCTCATACCATACTCGTGGAATTTGAGGTGTCGGTCAATGGATATCATGTCATGAGTCAAACCGGAATTATCAAACTCACGTGTTCCTTTTTCTCTCCCCCATGTTACTCCAATGGCGGATATTTTCATTTTGCTTTTTACGTTTCATGAATGACAATTAACCTCAAATGTTTGTCTGGTTGAGGCTCACCTCACGATCCTGGCCGTTCCAATGCTAGTGCTTAGCTGTCATGCTCTTGGTAGCTAGCTAACCGGCGTGATGCTGACAGCCTATCAACTGAACTCATCGTCCCACCACTCCCCCTGTTAGAAGGAAATAGGATTCTAGTAACATCTCGGCGTGTACTGGGTTGCTAACTGACCAAACTGGATCACATTCATTTTTAACCTGATGGAAAACTCCCGGTTTGCTGGCATCATTTTTCCACGCATAGATGGTCCTTCGAAACATGTGGTCTTTTGTCAACGCTTTGGGCGGCCGACAACCCATTTTCTACATTGATGTGATGCTCGTTAATTCGGATGTGGTCCTATACCCGGTCAGCGCTGATTTGTACAAATGGATGACGCAAACTTTGCGCGGTTGCGTTGAAAGGTGAGATGATTTCGCTCACGGAACTTCATTTTCATATCTTGGATAATTCTAAGGCTGCAGTTTGCCTCTATTTCTTTCCGTCTATTATTGAACTTGTATGTCTAGGGTCGTTTTACTCTCTAGCAAGAATAATTCCACTGCTTAAAACAATTTTTACTGAAAAAATTCGAACCTCTAAACCATGTCGACGTAATCACATTGACTCTTGCAGTTTTGCAATCGTCTCATAGAGTAGATCGAAAATTCACGGATCAGCCTCTATACCGTTTTTCGGTGTTTCGTTCGACTCTGTGTGAGCGTATAGTCCAGCACATCGTTCGATTGACGGCTTAGTCACCCTGGCAGACAGTGCATTAGCATCCACCCTGTACGAAAGCACGAGCGGCAGGACAACCGAATGATGGCGCGGATCGATAGGATGGGAAATGTGCCTTGTCAGCGATGTTTAAGCCTCGAGGCTTGGTTAGCCACACCAACTGGGCCAATACGTTTTGTGCAACGTCTGAGGATATGGACCACCAACCTACATATTCATTGTTTTACACTAATAAAACGAGATGATTCGCAGGCAGAAGAGACTTCTCACTAGAGTTAGTGGGCCGGATTAAAATACTTTCATAATGGTGTGATTGGTTGTTTGCAGGTTTGTTATTTCAGTTTTTTTAATCGATTTATGTGACCACACGAACGACTGAAGTGCGTCACGTGTTTCCTCACTGCTTGCTGATGCACCAGGTAAGTCCGAATTAGCGTAAGTCCTACGACAAAAGTTTTCGACTTCATTTGATAATGTTCGCACTTACTTGCTTCAGGAAATCAGTGTCTAGAGGGAAACCAGAATCCCAGGTTAAATCAGATTACCGAATTACGGTCAGTAATTTTGCTGACCCTTATTTAGCTCACGTCATCACAATATGCTTCCGGTTAAAAATCATTGCAACTTCCTCCGCATTCCGTTTATTCCCGACAAATAGTAATACCAACTAAAGCCTCTAATTCTAGCATACCGCCGCCACACTCGAGAACGAAATGACGGTTGACGGTCCGGCGAGCTGACTGACTTTCCCTGTCCCACCGACATGTCTGTAACCAGCGTCCCCGTGATAATCGATAAAAGTCCCCGCTGGACTTCAATACTGTTCCTGGCATGTGCACGTACGCGCGCACACAGATGCGCTCACTGAATCAGCTTTCAATTGAGGTCTGTTCGTCTCGTGGCTCTTACGATGGTCACGACTTTCAGCGACACGGAAACTGAATTTCGATAACAAACGCAGCAGAACACGCTGTCTGGGTTTCGTGTCAGTCACTCGTGCTGCTGTGCCCGTCATCTGGGATGCTGGGAATCCGTAGCCGTCTTGAGTTCGTGCGACGCGTATGGGACGGATTATTTTTGTCATTAATTGCAATTTCCTATTATTTTTCTTTTCCATCATGATCTTTATTTTCCATTATAGTCATTAAGTTCTGATGGATAGTGTACTCCGGTAAGTGGAGATCCCTCCGATGGAACGCATATTTCTCACGTCCGTTCGGAAGGCGTCAAGGTCCGACAGCCGTACCGAGCAGCACTTCTCTGTGATGATTGTTTAGGACGCAATATAGAGCTGAAAATTGAAGTCAACGAAAATCCATAGGAATTGTTATTCCTCGAAGAGCAAAGTCTTTTTTCCATAGTTTTGATCAGTAGTGGTGTTTGTAGCTCAGCTTGGTGATTTCCATAAGCTATCGACCTCTGGGGTTAGCGTTTCGATCATATTCCTCATTACTCGTCAAAATATTTTGGACAATGATAGTTTTACCTTAGCTTGTGACGAGACGCTTGCAATCCAAACGTTACGCTCAGCAAATAGGAAAGTTTCTGTAAAATCGAACACTAACAGGCTGTTGTTTCTTCACGTTTTACTCATATGATAACTGAGAAACAAGAGCCAAGAACCCCCAGGGACCCAACAATCAATCTGACTACTAGCTGTCGTCTCACGCATGCTTGTCTAGTATCACTTTGACTCTGTCGAGTAGAGAGCACATTTGTTGAGGTAATCGGTCCACAGTCCGCAGCTTTCTCGAATTTGTACTATCTGCTTCGCTTGTGTTGTCTACCTTGTTCCAAGCTGCCGCTACTTTTTGCGCTGGAAACATGGAACCTGTGAACCGTGTCCGGCTATTCGATCCGAAGGCGATGAGATGATCACATTCAATTACGTGCATGAGTTGGAACGATGTCCGGAACTACGTGAACCAGATGCAGCTTTCAATCAACGAGTGCAACTTCTCAATCGAAATGTTGTAGATTTTCTGAAACGTCTGGCTCGTTATTCCATACTATGGCATCAGGATAAGGTAATCTGATTCCCCTTGTTGTATTTGACCTTACTTCTCTTTACCATGAATCATAAGCCTCTAATATTCTATGTATTGCCAAACTTTGTCAGCCATGCATGTCAGTCCCGTAGTGGCGTTCAATCTTGCTAGTTTGGGCGGTGTCAACGGTGCAGCAACACACCAATTTCTTGAACTGTGTGCCCGCTTTTGATACACCAGCAGTGGAAAAAGGGAGAAGCATAAGGTTTCCGCCATTGATTTTCTTTTTATTGGCCTTGACCGGCAGTGATCAAACAGTCAACGTTGTAACGTAAACGGCCCGTGGGTCCCGGGTTCGAATGCCATCACTTATTGCAGCCTCTAATCGACCTCATCTCAACTACAAAAAAAAATGTATAACTGTTCAATAAAACAGCAAAAAAGTAAAATCTAACTGGAAACGAATCTCGAAGCTGTTGGATTAATCCCGTCAATAGTGCAAGCAGATATCATCAAATAGTGAGCAGTCTATCTAACTGTCGAAAGTTTTACCCACATAGAACACACAATTTATATCGGGAGAAGTCACGGAAAATGTATCTGAAGAAATTGGATTGCTTTTCCTCGATAAAATTACAACTTGATTCATTTTTGCTCAGACTACGGTCTAAATGAGCCGATCTAGATGAAACTGTGTAGCTTTTGATTCACCTTATTGGTGTGTATACTACTCGTCGAAACAAGGTGCCTTCATAGAATCTCATCTCCATCTATCTGGTTTCCTTAGTTTGAAGGGAAGTACATGCCGAAAAATGACGAACTGAAATTTACGATGAACATTGTATCAGTTGACCAGCACTCTGAAAAATTCTCATTAGTCGAAACAGAACGACCCATAGCTTATTTTGTTGACTGAACATAAAAGCACATTTTCATAGGACGGATATGATATAGGTGGAAAAAGGTGTCAGAACATATCACCTTTGTGAGGATTATGTTACAACATGTGAAGAAGGTGAGTTGTTAACGTCTGGCGCAGAGATGAATATGAGGTTTTTTGACAGATATTACATAATCACACAGCTTGTAGTTAAATACCATGTTCGAAGTTATGCAGTATCTTCAAAAAGGTCGGTTAGTGTCTCTTCGGTCGTTGTCTTACTCCTAGATTTGTCAGTTGGCATCTCATCGGGCTTTCATACTTTGATGGTTGTAATTCATGTTCGAAAGACCGAATGCACCATTCATTCAGATCCCTGAAAAATCACTGAATCTTTCCATTGCCATTTAAAAACTTTGCGATCGCACTTTGCTGCGACTAACCCAGGAAGAACTGTCTGCGAATCACAGTTGTGATTCCTAATGGCCTCTTCTACAAGAAGCAACCACTCACTCACTCCTCGTGCACAAACGAAATGTTTGTGAAAAATAATCCACAGAAAGTACAAGTGTAAGGATGAAAAAAAGAGGAGGACCACGTTCGCATACTTGATGAGTGACGATAGCCACGTAAATGGTCGTTTACTTCCGATGAACTTTGTTCATCTATTTATGCACCACTTACTTCAAAAAATCTCAGCTAGCGACCGAAACACTGTCGCCCTCAAGGACACTGGCAACCATACCTCATATCCCCTACCTTGATTAGGCGTGGTTCAAACGTGAGGAAAGTCATCGAAATAATTTTCACTGTGTATTGTCTCACATTTGGAATAGATCACGACAGAAAGCATAACATCGACTGAACAGGATGTCTATCCTCGGGGATTTCACGGCTAACCATAAAGATCCCTCGACATCCCACCCAGGGATGTCTTTCACCCTATACGATGACTGGTAACAAATAAAAACAACAAGAAGCAGTTCGACCGGCAGTGGTCAAACAGTCATTATGGTGACCTTTGTACCTGGTGGTCCCGAGTTCGTGTTCTGCCGCCACCAGTCTTTTCCCCGTTTACCGGCCTCTAGTTGACTGCGACGTCCTTCCTGAAATGTTGTATAATTTCAAGGTAATAGATAATAAGTGGTAGTAAAACATTACTATCATTATTATTAACGGAAATAATTACAAAGACAGGAATAAGAAGCGAAGTCACCAGTGCTAACGGCATCTCTAAGATTCACATTTTATCAGATGTAATCTATTCGTTTAATTTCGCGCTGGACGCCATCTTACTATATTACTTTTCTTTTGTTTCACAATCACAGCAAAATGTGGTCGAGAAATGGTTGCATGCAAAAAACCAGACCACTCGGGATTTTGAGATGCGCATTATCTATTTGTGCTCACGTTGGAAAAATCTCGATCGATTACTTGGCCCGAAACGGATTGTCTTCGCGGGTGCAATCGCTTTACGTTTGACATCATTCTTCTTGAATGTGACTAGCAACTTACGTGATTGGATCCGAATCTATATGCGTTATCTGTATGAGGCTGCAGAGCATCACTACGACACAGTGGTTAAAATGATCCAGGTAAGTAGTGCACTTGTTTAGGGTAGAATGTTACTGAGAGAGCTGATTCCCTGCTCGATTTTGTAATGTCTCCGTCGATCTGATTGGTACATACGTATAATCTGTAAATTGATTCCTATGACAACTGATTTGAGTCCAGCTCGGTCGAATTCCAGTTTTTACTACTGACCACATTGTCAGTGGACGAAACCCAATCAACTGCCATGGATTAAGGGGAAAATCCGATAGAGTGGGTCAGTGAACCGAGGGTTGCTTACGATTTTAACTGCCACGAACGTCTTCCAAGTGGATGTACAAGTGTGCCGAGGTGTCCATAACGTCATGCTGGCTTACGGCGTTTTGCGCATTTGTATTCTACTTTAATTCGATTGGTTACGAACTGTAACGGATACGGCAGCCGTCTGATGCGTCATATGTCAACGTAACAATACAACAGCAATTAATTTATTTTTCTTTCTCTTCGAATGCTGTACCAAAATCTACTATCATCATCCACGTTCACTAATCTGTTATCTTACTTGGTATTTCCTCCTCGATTCCATTGCTCCACTCCATGGAACTTATGAATTTCCGATGAAACAGATGGTAGGGATGAATGAAGTGGAACGAGAGTAGTAAATTACGTCATTTCATTTTTCATCGCTTCACAGTAGCAAACCAAAACAGCTGCGTTTTACTAGCAATACCATATTATCGTTCTGTGTGAATCGTTATTCCAACGGACCTTGTTATTACCTCTGCAGTTTTTGGCGTTAAACTAATTCTTCCGGGGTATCATTTATGAGTAAGTGATGTATTACTCAACAGCCGACCGAGGTATTTCAACGTGGAAGTGCTGGAGCATCGATGTTTTTCTTTGAATGAAGAAATAACATGTGCGTGTGCCACAGAAACATTACACAAGTAGAATAACGTGATACATCTTATCCAGTTCACTGTCATCATAAATTGCTAAATAACTCTGTTAGATCAATTAGGTGCACACCTAATGACTAGTCTTCAACATTTAACCTCATTTCAAGACCACTGGTAATACGCAGGCCTCATTCCTTCGGTTGCTCACTTAGTTTATCGGCATGACATAAGAACAACTTTTCAGGAAGTACACAAAAAGTTAGATTTGCCGGTAAGTTGTCCAGATTCCTGATTTTTAACATCGGCGCTCTTCGAGCTGCTATGCATTCGTCCTTTCGTCCACACTTACGTAAGCGACCTTTTGTATGGCTTCTCAGAAACTGGAACGTAGTATGCTAACATCGCAAGTATTTGCCATGCTGTAACAACCAAAGCTGAATAAATAGCTTATTTGATATTCTTCAAAACATTGTGAGTTGTTATGAACAAAGTGATCGTTCCGTAACCCTTCGTAGTGTTCTGAGTGTATTTCCATCCCATCTCACTCAGCCTCCCCAAATGATGAATAGTACTCTGCGCACCATTCAATTACACACAGTCCAGTCTCCTAAGAACTTCGGGGCGACGTCAAGCACTGATATTCTCATGTTGTCAAATGTGTGCACGAATTGTGATGATTTATCTTTCGCACTTGATAGCTCAGGCAATTCTGAATGATAATTATCAACACACTATCTTTCGTGACTCCGAGAGTACTGTAACCACATGGACACGAGGATGTCATTTGTTCTCATCATGAATACCGAGTTTCTTGTTCTTTCTTCTATAATCCTAATTTAAATGCCTATGAAACGTGCTATATTAAGCCTGTTGTGAAGCACCGAAAACAATCTCGTTCACTATCAAGTGTTCTGATCCATTGGCCGGGTATTGTCAATTGATTCTGCCCTGAGTGCACATTCACATTTTCCTTTGTTTCTCATCGCATTTTATAAAACCTACTCTGTATCTTCTTGGTAATGTCTCCTATCTTGCCAATGCAAGACACGAGGCATTCATGTAGTCAGTCGTATATCTTCCAAACCATATTTTTATCTGAGCAAGATGTGATTTGCACGTTATTATCTGTGACAATCTCGGTGGCTTCACGTGGAGTTACACATGACTCACTTAAATCAACAATGGCCTAACCTCAAGTCAAATGGATATAGTCACGTTTATCTTGGCTGTGTTTACATTCTTCTACCCTAAGACAGGCGGTTCTCAAACCACCAACCCATTAAGTAATAGTAGATAACCCAAGTCGCCCTCAATATTAGTGAGTCATACCCCACTTTTCTCACCGGTCCCCTCTTCACCGTGCTCCGTTCACCCGACAACCCTGCTCTCATAACTGATGCAGTGGAGTCAATCGATACTGAATCGACAACAATTTAAGGTTGATTTGATAAACTGTCATATTGTAACAGGGAATGCTTGGGCGAGGGAACGGCGTAAACATCAAGGCGAACGAACGAACCAAACGAGGGCCACAGACAAAAGAACAGGTGGCGAATATGTCGGAGGCGTCCCGAAGCAGGCAAAAAGAAGCACACAGACGACCAGAGAGGAAGCAGCGGGATCTCCGGCAACCAGAAAGATAGCTCAGGTGAAGGGCTGCCGATCGAGCCGTCAACTGAGACAGTCGGGCCAACCGAAGGGAAATGACGGGCAAGAGAAGCAAGCCATCGGCCACAGGCAAATGGACAGAATGCAGCCGAAGCGCTCAAGCAGCGACAATAGCAATCTTGGTGCCGCGCAGTCTGGAAAAAAGCCTATATAAGCGACTGTATGTGTGCCATGACTTGACTTGTGTGACCGTGGGAATACAAGTATCCTGCCATGCGTTGTCGTCCTTGTTACAATATGGCTTTGCGGAACTATCACATGGCGTTAAGACACTCTCAGTTGAGAGCCAAACATAATAGTCATTACTGCTTTGCTCTGTTATCCTGAGGCAGACTGACACGGATCACGTTCCGCTTCGTTCGGTATACAAACTCAGTCCGCTTGTTGTGAGGGTGTGTTGATTCAACGCTGGTGGACGGCCAAGCCACGTTAGTAGTCAGAACCTGTGGCGTTCCGAACCCCAGGTTTGAGACAATAGAATCACGAACGCCACTTTAGCCGGTCGATGTCGTGGATCTACAGCAAGGGGGGTGTATCCTATCGGTGATGTTTAAGCCTCAAGGCTTTGCCGTCCACATCAGTCGAACTAATACGTTGCGTGCAATCACTGGATCCGTGGCCCAGCAACCTGCATATTCCTTGTGTTTTACCAATAAACTGAGATGATTCGAGAGCAAAGATGTCTTCGCTCTAGAGCTAGTGGAATCGATCGAAAAACCTGGGACCAGACGAACAATGAGTTGCGCTATCCCGCCCCGGGGAGCAACCTTTGCGTTTGGCTCTCAACTGAGGGTGTCTTAACGCCATGTGATAGTTCCGCAAAGCCATATGACAGTTTATCAAATCAACCTAAAATTGTTGTCGATTCAGTATCGATTGACTCCACTGCATCAGTTATGAGAGCAGGGTTGTCGGGTAAACGGAGCACGGTGAAGAGGGGACCGGTGAGAAAAGTGGGGTATGACTCACTAATATTGAGGGCGACTTGGGTTATCTACTATTACTTAATGGGTTGGTGGTTTGAGAACCGCCTGTCTTAGGGTAGAAGAATGTAAACACAGCCAAGATAAACGTGACTATATCCATTTGACTTGAGGTTAGGCCACTGTTAATTTAAGTGAGTTATGTGTAACTCCACGTGAAGCCACTAAGATTTTCACAGGTATTTTGAAGGTTATCATAATGGTTGTTCATTTTCGTCTGGCTGATACAGCATGGCAAATAGCTACGAAATCAGCACAGTTAGTTACAGTCCCGGGGAAGCCATACACAAATGTGAGGAAAAAGCCGAAAGCATAGCAGCCTAAAGGGCGCGAAAGTTATTAATTTGGGATATGGTCCACCTACCGGCATATCTGGTATTTGGGATACGTCCCGAAATGCCCATAAACTAAGTGAGCAACCGAAGGATTGAGACTTGTGTAGTACCAGTGGTTTTGGAATAAAGGCAAAGTTTGAATGATATTAAATAAATGTGCACCTAACAGATTTAACAGTTATTTAGCAGCTTACGGTTACAGTGAGCTGGATAAGCTGTATCACGCCATTCTATTTGTGTGATTTTCCTGTGGTACACACTCAAAGAAAACATCTTTACGCTTTCTACTGCCGAGTCCGTGTCTCTAATTGTCTCTATCTGTGTCAATATTCATCTCCTGAATTACTTTTGGCTTGTGATGAATGGAGCCTTTAAAACTTTTACCTTTCCCAGTAGTTGTTTACAGTTTTCCAATCGTTTGCTTCAAGTCATCTGTTGATTTTCAAATTTGGGCAAAACAATAAATAGACAACTGCATTCCCCGAAGCAGACAATTCGAACTATCAGGACATACGCAACCGTCCTAATAGTCCGCTTTTGCGGTCGTACTCTACCTGTATGCACACTGATTCCCTGTTGGTATGTGTATGCATGAGTTGAGTTTGTTCCTCCGCCCGCCATTCTCGTCCCATGGCCCAATGACCATGGGACGTGGGAGATCTGCTAAGATCCGCATGTCCCTCGGTCGGATTCATTTTCTGTCCCCAGATTCTTAGATGGTTGACGAGATTGACGTTATGGGCATCTCCTTTTATCGTCAAAACGGCCTGCTTTGCAGCATGTTGCTTAAAGACCGACGGTAGCTTGTTGCTGAATTGAAAAACCGTTGGTGAAAAATGAGGGCTAATAGAAAACACAATTCGCTAGTTGTGGATCCATAACAACTTCAGTGGGCTTGGTAACCACTTTTGGATAATTCAGTATAATTCACTTCGAGCAACGTCTAACCATGCACTCAGTGCGGTCGTACTGGTTGCAGTTTATCAACGGGATCCTTATTCGGAGGTCAAGACAATCCAAACGTAACCCCCTCGCTTCTACACGTTCCTTTTTCGACCTGCAGTGCTTGTATTGATTTTTACGCCTCGGTCCGGACGTTTACCGATTTGAATTTTTCCTCAACCCGTCTATACCGTCCACTCTCGTTTGCCTCGTATGT